TGGAAACCCTATTGTGACATAATCGGATGCATGATTCTGGGAAATTTTGAATCATAGGATGTTTTGTAAGCATCTTTGTGGTGTGTGTTGGTTTGATTCTTTAGACGGTAGAACAGCCGAATGTAGTAAGATTAATTTGAAGTTTCCGTATGATTTGAAGCGAAAGGGGAAAAGAGCTTTAATTGACTGGTGTGTAAATGAAGGTTTACTTAGTAGCCATTATAAGTATCCTGTATGTAGGAAGGCTATGCGTTTAGTCAAACGTAAAAACCGTTTAGATGGATTTGAATGGGTTTGTAGGAAGAGAGGTTCAGATGGTCACTATGGGAAGCGTTCGATCAGAAACAGTACCTGGTTTGAAAAAAGTCATTTAAGTATGATTGATATTTTGATTTTTACGTGGCTCTGCGTGTACGAAGCGAACTCGAAAATCATGGTAAGTGAATATTTGCTTTTGGTAGTGCTTAAATGTATAACATGTTTTTCCTTTTTTATGTTATTTTATTGTTTGGTTTAAAATGAATTTTATTGAGATTATGTATTTTTTTGTTTGCCTATACTGTAGAATTTGGTCCTCCTTTGACTTTTTAAGTGAAAATATATTGATGTGTACATGGACAAAGTAAAGGGAGTGCGCAATGCAAGTTTGTGCAATTCTGGGATTTTTTTTTTTAAAGTGAAAATAGGTGGACGTGTACATGGATAAAGTTAAAAGAGTGCGCAATGCCATTTTTGTGCAATTCGGGGATTTTTTTTTTTAAGTGAAAATAGGTCGATGTGAACATGGATAAAGTCAAAGGAGTGGGCAATGCCATTTTTGTGCAATTCAGGGATTTTTTTAAAGTGAAAATAAGTCGATGTGTACATGGATACAGAGTTTATGCAATTGTTTGCCTTGTTATTTTGGCTTTGTGTAGCGGCGATTTTTTGGCGCAAAAATTACCGCTTCGCAAGCCAAAATAACGAGTCAAAGAATTGCACAAAATTGGTATCCATGTACCACCAAAAACGCCAAGTTTCGCCAAGGGGTACCCTAAACTATACTTTTACCCTGATTTCATTTGACACTTCCGTAATTGAAATTTTGTCCCCTTCAATAATTTTCACAGCATTGTGAAATAATGTAGTTTGGTTGTGGATGAACGGAAGCCAAATTTGTGATGTGCCATTTTCAAAAAAGAGCTGCAATATTCTTGGACATTTATCTTGTGATAAAAAGTATGATTTGAATGGTTCATATATTTTTTAAATATTTTTTACAGCTGGTAAAAGAGCTAACCACCGTGTTCACAAAAATCCTTCAAACTTTCAACATGCACTGTATATATACTATATATATATATATATATGATGTTGTTTGAATAGTATTGTGTAGAATGTGTGCTGCACAACCTACTCTAATAATTTTTTGGTTCAAATGTTAAGTTTTGTAAAAATGTTATTGACTCCTTTTCTAACTTTTTCACTAAAATTTGTGTTATTGTTATCCGCACAATAGGTAATAATTTTATTGTTCAAATTATTCTTTATTAAAATAGTACTTTTGAATTATTCTTTATTTTGAATTATTTATTAATACAATAGGTAATAATTTTATTGTTCAAATTATTCTTTATTAAAATAGTACTTATTGAATCAAAAATTATTTATGAAGTTTCATTTGGCAATGAAACAAAATATGAGATATAATATAATTAATAATACTATACTGGAAAATTAGATTATAGTATAATATAATTTAATTCCTGTTTTTGAATCAAAAAAATCTAACAATTGTGGGAAACAATTTTATATCTTTGTGGTTGGAAGAACCAGAATATATGAATATAAATGTGCATTTATCTAATTCTTTCTGCAATTGTGAAAACGAATATCATGAAAAAACATTACAAATACTTGCCTCGGTTTTTGTCCTTGCATATGCAAATTCTTTGTTGTACAATGTTTTGATCATTTGTGACGTACAATCAGTTGATCTGAAATGGTGTTTATGGTGTGGAAAGCAAATAGCCCTTTAGCTAATGCTAGCTGCTCCTCTGTGTTGCCAAAACTAGCACTGCGAAAAAAATGTTCCATTTTAAACAAGGAATCGGCATTATTCAAAAATCTTCTGTGCCTTTTTGTCATTAGATGTTTAGTAATATCGTTCTTTTCTGCCATGCGAGACTGAAAATTCAGTGTTGCATTTATCACACCATATTATATAGTCTATTTTGGTTTTTTTAATAAGTGGAAATTCTCTGCTTAGCTCCTCATTAAATTTGCATTCTCTTCTTTTACTCATCTTTTATTTTATGGGTAAATACTATAAATAGATAATATACCACAAAAGACAAAAAATGTACTAAGTTTTACCTTATTGACTGTTACGCTGTGGCTGTGTTACTATTGCCCTTATTTCGTCAATCAAATAATGAGTCGGACGTCAAACTGAAAACAACAAACCGCCCTGTCTAATGGCAGTACACACTTATCTGTATTAAGACAAGATCAGTCACCCAGACAGTATAGTGATTAGGGGTACTGAAGTATAGTGGTATAGTGGTTAGGGGGTATTGCGGTACCGAAGGACTCGGGTTTGAATCCCAGAGAAGACATGAATGTTTGTAAATGTATGGTGTCGGCGCAGCACGGCAGCACTCTAAATATGCAGTGAGCCAAAAGACCTCATCTGATTTCGTGGGAGACCCCCGGATCCCCCACCGGGTTGCTCTTCCTCAAAATTGGGGGTGGAAAATAGAAGTCAAACTTCTTTTCGGAGTAGGCTCCGGTTAACATTGTTCCATGCAACATGGACATGAGAACAAGACAAAATCAACACGGATTTGATTTACATCGATACAGATGGGAAAAAAATGGTGTCACAGAAGTGTATGAACTCTCCACAAACATGACGTTCGCCCTTCACCAACTATTCCGCACATGCACAAAATGGTATTAAGGTTGACTTTGTTTCAACAGCTAATTCGAGCATACGCAACAGCTTCCAGCCTAATTTAGTTAACTCTGCATGCATTTTATGTGTTTTTTGTTTACGTATTTTTTATTTCTTTATTTAGTAAGGAATTATAAGGCAAATAAAATAAAAACATCTGCCCTGAAGATAAGGATAGTGCAGACAGATCAACTTCCAATTGATTGTGCGCCGCGGCGTTAAAGATAAACAAAGTTTAGATAAACAAAGGATATGCCTTTATCCACTTTTTGTTTAATGAACTTCGAAACATACTTTGTAGATCCTTTACATATTAATAAATATATATCAGAAATTCTGTTTGACATAATCGAAAGTTCAAGCTTACTTTTATAAAATTGCTCTAACAGTCTGCAAAAAATAATAAGCCGGATCCAATTCGAAGATTAAGGAACAACGCAATCTGCAACATTAAGTGAATTAGATAATTTTAGCTTAGCTTATACTGTCCGTTATACATTAAACGCACACTCGTAAACGTATTTTGCGCACATGTACAAGCATATTCGCAGCCGTAAAGGTCAACCCGACACATGCGCAAAAAGTTTGTAGCTTTGAGGTCCGGATTATAGATCATTCCGGATTATGGGTGTCCGAATTAATGACTTTTGACTGTATTAATAAATAACAGGTAGTACATTTAAAGCAAGAAATGCAGATATTTTCTAAAAAGCGGGATCGGGACGTGTGGTCACTTTATATTCGAATCGTATATAACTTCAAAAATACAGAAAAGAGTGAATAGTCAAATAAAAAGAGCTGTAGCAGCTAAAGATATATGTGATGTTATCACAAATCAAGCAAAAGACAGATTTTAGAGTACCAATTTTATTTAATTTCTCCATACTTTACTGTTTCTCTCCTCAAAACTACAAAATTTCAGGAGTCTGAGGAAAAGTTTCCAACTCATTCTTGATTAAACAACTGATGTTTATTTCATGTTACAGATGGATAATGTGAAAATTGAACTAGGAATAATTTACAGATTATATTTCAGAAATATGACTGATGTCAGTAGTCTTCTACAAATTAATATAGAAGAAATTTACAGACTTTGTTTTCAGAGACCTACGAACTATTGCTAATTATTTTTACTATTCTTTTGACAACTGCTGAAGCTGAGAGATGCTCCTCAGCTTTAAAACGAGTTACGACAATTTCAAGAGGCACTATGAGGAAAGACAGAGTAGGTATCTTAGCCATCCTCTCAACTCGGGAAAAAAAAAAAAAAAAAAAAAAAAAGCATGATAAATGCCATACCTAAATTCAATGAAAACATTGCTGATTTGTTTGCCTCTAAAAAAGACAGAAAAGTGGATTTAGTTTACAAAAATTGTACTTGACTATTTGTAATCAACGTTCAAAGATCACGGCAAGCAATATTATAATTTAATTATATTCCACTGTAAAAAATAACATATTACAAATTTTACCTATGAGAACTAGTTTTCTTTTAATTGCATTGATTCTAATACACTTAAAAATGCAAATGTATTTAAATTTGTAAGTTATGTCATATGTGCATATTTAATTTTCGAAATTTATTTTGTGAACCATTATTTAAATGCCCACAAACCAGCACTGGGTCTGCTTAGAAACCATTTAAACGTCAAGCAATGGGTTAAAGAGCATTCCATCCACATACAAGAATTGTAAATTGTACACTTTATAATAAAAAATTATACATGTGTATATTTTAGCAACAAAAGTGAAAAAAATTATGGAAAACTTACAAAATTATAAATAATCAATTTTCGGAAACCGTCACGTTCATATCTATTATCGATATAAAAATTATAATTATAAACTATATGCACTTTTTAAAAGCATGGCAAATATTTCTATAAAAGTTTCAGGACTATTTATTATTTCTTAAAATTTCAAAGATGCTGTTTGACTATTAAAATTAAACGTTAATAAATAACAGTTACATTTTATCATAACATTATAGTGTCCATTACATAAAAGAACTCCTTCAAATAATTCAATAAATAATAGACTATAAAATACATTTTTGCTAATATACCTAAAAGAAATTCACAAAATTCACTATTCGGCCCTTGAAATTCAGGTGCTTTACGTTTACTCATGTTTAAAAACTTTTTGTAAATAAATAGTATATGATGCCATTTAATTTTCATAAGTTTTTAAAATACAATACTGTCTTTTATTATGATGAGTTTTTTTTTGTAAGATATGAATTGTTTTTTTAACAATATGTGTAGTTTAGAACAGTTTTTTAGCTTATATGAGTAATGTTTTAATTTTCTAATATTTTTCAGTGAATTATGAATTCTTTCTTGTTTTCTTCAGATTGACAAAAACGGAAGTATACAATCTGAAACCGGATATCGTCTGGATGGAAGCCACGCAAACTTAAGTATTCGGTTTTGCTATTAGAAATCTGAAGTAATGGAGTATTTTAAAAGTGGCTTAAAATCTGTTTTAGGGACACCACAGGATTCTCAACAGCCAACAGTCGCTGAAACGGTACTTATCCATATTAATATCTGTAAGAAAGCCGGTTGAGGTGAACGTGGTTCATAATGAAACCAAACAGTCCGATATTAATATTGCTAATTTTAATTTAACTTTATCATAATTCTCTGTTACACAAGCAGGAAAACGACAGATTTCGTTATTTAGTAACTAAAGTGATGACAGAACTTTTAAAAATTGCATTTTGCCATGATTCAATATAAAAATCTGTTTGTTTTTGGCGCATAGTTGCATTTCTGTGTGTTCAAATGAATTCATGTATGTAGTTTCGCGCATTTATTTTGTGTGAAATTGTACATATTTTATTGTTTTCCAGGTGGAGAAACTTGTTGATAGGGTTCAGACATCCACGCTGCTTGATGATCGAAGAGATGCATGTAGAGCTCTTAAAGCTCTTTCCAATGTAAGTCTTCTGTAATAGTGCATATTAAATTTATGTTTTAGCATTAACTTCCAAAAGCATTAACTATTTTTTAATATTTTATTGCTTTTCAAATATTTTTAATTGCTTGCCTCTGTTTAAGTAAAAATAAATACGTATCTCATAGTGAAATATATATATATTTTGTATAGTATAAAACTCTGTATTTAAGAAAATTTTAATTGGCAGTTTTTCTGTTCAGGTACAAAAACACAAATTGCTCAAATAAAAAGTATATCATATTATAATTTCTAAAAATTTAATAAAAATTTTCATGTTTCAAACTTGTTTCACATAATTTGTGTGTTGACAAAATGTGATGGATAAAAGGAATATGCGAGTGTGCATCTGTTGCACAAAGAGCGTGCATTTAGAAAAGAGAAGAGAATAGAAGTGGTGGATAACCTCAGGTGGTACATTTTTTAGGGCCGCAATTTTAATGTGAAACATTTTATAAGAGTTAAGTCATGTGGATTAACGAAACAGGTGAAGGATACCAAATTGCTGAATTATCATATAAAATTAAATTGAGTAGAAAAAGTATACTTATGATAGATAAAATATTCAAAGAAATCACTACAGAATTTCAGCAGCTATAGTCTATAATTTTAGAATGGGAATTTCAATGTTGTTTTCCACCACCGATCTAGCTCATAACCATGGAAACGAGCTGTGGGGGAAAAAAGCTGACTGGCTAAATTTTTTCTACCATTTCATTTCCATTCAACATGTTTTGCTTTATGGAAAACATGCAAATAAAGACCTACTTTAAATACAGTCAGAAATGACGAAAAAAATGCTGTGTGGTAATGACATTGCAAATGAGAGAGCTGGTAATGGTGCTGAAGTATGTGAAGGTAGAATAAGGGTATGTTATAGCAGACTATAACATACCCTTATTCTACCTTCTATCTCCTTCAAAATTTTTAATAAAAAATAAAATAATAAATTAAGATCATGATGACATAAATAAGAAGGAATTCCCAGTTAAGAGATAAACATTTTATTTCTAATTAAGAGATAAACATTTTATTTCTTATTAACATTTTCTTCGGGAGAATAGAGGAGGGTGGCAGGTTCTTTTGAACTATAGCTGCTACTGCTGCAAACTTTCCTCACAGTTGCTGTAAGTGCTGCTAGTTGTGAGAAGATTTTTTTATATTAAAATCTTTTTAAGAAATCTTGCTGTTTACATATCAGAAACGGGAGCAATGAAGCAGACTTCTGCACTGTCATTAATGGTTTCATTAACTGAAAAGAAAGCAAAATAATATAATTTAAAAATATAGGCTAATCTTTGGAATATGGTAACAGGTAGTTTGGCGACATTTTGGTAAGGCGATAAAGGTTACTAGCTAGGACTTTAGCAGTGTACACGGATAAAGTCAAGAGTGTGTGCAATGCCATTTTTGTGCAATTCTGGGATGATTTTTTTTTAAGTGAAAATAGGTCGACGTGTACATGGATACCGTGTATGTGCAATTCTTAACAACGCGGCAAGCAGTTTGTGATTCTGCACTTTCTCCCAATTTCACACCTAATCTTCGTCATGATTAAGCACTTTTGTTCCATAAAAGTTCTAGCATAAGCGTAATTTGACTAGCAGATTGTTGGAAAAAAATATTAAGTAAAAAAAAAAAGCTTTTACTTCATGAAAACAAAATGGTGTCCAAACAAAAACTAGAAGGTTGCTGTAGGAGGGTTGGTCGCCAAATTTTCGCCAAAAAATCACCAAGTTACCATAATCCAAAGATTAACCTAGGATTAAACTTTTGCTTGAAAAATAAAAAAAATAGACTTTTAATTTATTTCCTTATATATCACTTTAATGTATTTTAGCTGTTTCTTTGTGTTTTGAAAGTGGCATCAAATTTAAAGATCACCCAGGGTGCACAACTTTTGGCTATGCCACTGAGAGCATATCTTTGTTACTGCATCGTGTTCAGGCCACATATAATAGTTGACAGAGACTTATTGTGAGATTATTAAGCTCAAGTTCAAATCTTAGATGAGGCATGGATATTTATGATTATGAATTGCCTTTATATGTGTTTTAAATGTGTCTGTTATATAGAGAACATTAAAAATCTGTCAATTTGAAAGCTTATTTGAGCATGGGTTACATGATTGTTGTCTTCAGTTTTTCCAGATGTCTTTGATCAAAAGTGGAATAAGGTTGGGAAGTGATCCTCTTAACGCTAGTGCTTAGAACTTAAGGCCAATGACTTTTCATGAGGCAGTTCTTGGAATTATTCTTCAAATGGCTAGAATGGAGGTTCTTAGGTCATTAATTGTGTGGAGCTGTCATAATAAGATGTAGAATATTTGGTACTTACATGATATTGCAAACACGATAGTAGAAGTCATCAAATTTTCAGAATGTTTCAGACTCTGGCTATTAAATATATAACCGTTCTTCAGGCGACCATGTTCATAAGAGTCAGTCAACCAGCATCGCCATTTTTGTATGCATCTTTTATTTATTTATTTATTTATTTTAAGTTTTATCAGTTCTTATGAACAAATAGTGATATTTTTTGCCTTAATTTTAAAATGTGGAATTTTTCAGCAGTGGAAAAAAACTGCAGTAAAATTTTTGCAGAATATAGACTTTTGCTGCACAATATCTAAATAAAAACAACTGGAAGATACATTTGATAGGTATCAAGGTTTGCTTGATGCCAAGTCTCTGCAATTCTTTGGTTTCTTTTAAGTGAAAAAAAATTGCCGTATACTTGGGAAGAAGATAGTTAGTTTTAGGCCTCATTAAAAAAAGTCATGAAAACCACCAGTTCGCAGCCAATAAATAACTTTTACCTTTGTACTAATTGTGGTTGCTATTAATGCACATGTACTGAATTTTCTTCATGGAAAAAAAAATTAAGCTGAATTAAATAATTTATAGATAATGTAAATTGGATAGTTTAATAATTTTTTATTCATTAAATTTTAACTGATATTTAATGACTAAAACGATTTTGTGAAAACATATTTGTTTAAGAATTCGTGTTTTATTTCAGCTTTTATGAAAAGAAAGAACCTTATCAATTATATTTTTACCCAATTAAATTGTGGGTGTGGGGCAGTTAAGTCATCAAATAGTCAAACTGCATATCTAAAAATTATTAATTTATCAGAATGCTATTAACCTGTTTTTCCTAATAGCATAATTTGAAAAGATATTTGAGAAAAATTCAATTGTAATTTTAAAAAATACTGTTTCAAATTTTCAAAAAAATTTTTTGATGTATTTATTTTAATTTTTTGATGTATCTCAAATATAAAAGATATTTGAGAAAAATTCAATTGTAATTTTAAAAAATACTGTTTCAAATTTTCAAAAAAATTTTTTGATCTTTTTAATGTGTTTTCATTGCAGATACATATATTGGTCTGAAATTTTTTTAAATAAGCACTGATAATAAGTGGCAGAAAAAATTAATGGTTAGATTCACTGTGAACTATTTTAGTCTAGCAGATGATTTTTTATTGACCAGTTTAGCACAGAATAAATTTTAGGCAGAAGGAAAAGTGAAATTAATCTGAGAACATTATCACACTATGATTTTAAAGTAGGATTAAATCAAGAAGGAAGTGTTGAACGTCTACAGGTAGCATTTGGAAATGAAGGTCCATCTCATACTGCTGTATTCAGATAGTATACAGAATTTCACAGATTTTGCAACTCTCTTCAGGATGAAAAACATACAGGAAAATGGTTGTCAGCAATAAATCCATACAGAAAATCTTAATCCTTGATAATTGCTGCACCTACCAAACGATACAGAATGAGCTTAACATTGGATCCGCTGTCATACATAAATTATTCATGAAGAATTGCGTATAAAAAAACTAGTTTGCCATTTGGTTCCCCATAATTTAACTGAGCACCAAAAAAAGGAGCATGACAAAATCAGTAAAAAAAACCTTTAAATTACTTAACGATAGTAGCCACTGCTTCTAAAATCGTAACTGGTGATGAAACGGGCATACCATTTTTTACATTACAACATATCAAGAAAGTAATGTGTGGGTCTTTGAAGATGATCCCATGTCCATGGTGGTAAAATGCTTTGAAAAAAGTAACTGGTCAAAGCCATAAAGCTGGAAGGACAGAAGATACTCACATCTAACTGGTACATCACCAAGTGTCTTCCAGAAATTCTTCAAGAAGTGAATGTTAGAGGACTCGTGCTCCAACATGATAATGCATCTTCGTTAAAACTATTATTTGACGGTGCCCCCTTGGCGAACTTGCCGATTTTTGGCGGTACATGGATACAGAGTTTATGCAATTCTTTGTTATTTTAGCTTTGTTTAGTGGCGATTTTCATGCCAAAAATCGTCGCTAAACAAAGCCAAAATAACAAGTCAAAGAAATGCACAAACTCGGTATCCATGTACACATCAACCTATTTTCACTTTTAAAAAAATCGGAAATTGCACAGAATTGGCATTGCACACTCCCTTGACTTTACCCATGTACACATTGAACTATATTCATTTAAAAAGTCATAGGAGCACCAAAAAAAAATATATATTCTCAATAAACTGTGTTTTAAATCAATCAATGAAATAACAAAAAAGCACTACACACTACACAAAGGAAATAGCCACCTACCTTATTTAGAAATTTCTCTGTCTTCCGTCTGTGGCACACAAAATTCCTAAACAGCATCCAAAAACGTTCCTCAAACCATGTTCTCTTTCTAACGGAACACTTTATATGGTGACCATTTGAACCTTTCTTGCAACAAACCTATTCAAAGCCATCTGAATGATCTTTACGTTTGACCATATGCATTTCCTTTGTACAAACAGGACACATAATTGCTACTAAGTAAACCTTCATTTACACACAGTCAATTAATGCTTCCCCCCCTTTGTTCCAAGTCCTATAGAAATTTCAAATTAATCTTATCATATTCAGCTGTTTTATAGTGTAAACCACAAAATAGCAACTTCCTAACCAACACCCAACACACAAACAAGCCCTTACAAATCTTTTCTCATCAGTCAAATTCACGCAACCAATTACGTCATAATAGGGTTTCCATAACATTCAACTGCTCAGTTACCATAAATGAAACAACAACTTGGCGATAATCCAACGGGCACCCTTTACTCAGGTTCCCACAAATGAAACAACAATTTGGCGATGGCACCCTCAACTATAGACTAGCCTGCATCTTCTCATTAAGATTGGCGGTTGAATTTCGTGAACAAAAACATCAAAGTGATAAAACATCCATTCTATTCACCCAATATAGCTATGTGCGACTTTTGGTTATTTTTTAATATAAAAGAAGTTACGTGAGCATCATTTTCTTTCCGAAGATGAGATTGATGAGGCTATAAATGCAATTTTTTCACTGATTCCAAGAAATGAATGGCGTGAAGCATTTAATCTTTGGAAAATTCGTCTACAGAAGTGTAATGATCTTAGAGGAGACTACTTTGAACACTCCTAAAATTTCATAAATATAACTTTAAAAACTAATATGTATCTAAAAAATTTCAGAGTGATCCTTATATATAAAAAAGGTTCAAGAAAATCTGGCCGGTAGAAAAGTATTAAAGATTGGTTTCAAGATTTGGGGCAGACAAACAAAGAAACTATCTAAAACAAAACTTTGTTAAATATATGTATATATATATAAATTATAGAAATTAGTTTTAATGTGTTTATTATTATTATTGTTGTTATTGTTATTTATAATTATCAGCATGGTGTTTCCATGTTTGGAACCAGTCTTCAATTTCTCTATGTACTTGGATTCCCTAGTAGCTAAGTGGATTTGTTGAAACTATAGATAATTGAGCCCAGTTTCAAACAGGATGGCTGTATGTGGCATTTAATGGTTCTTCCCATGTAGAAGGTCAATATCATCCATATCCAGAAAGGCATATCATACATAAGTAAAATAGTGCTTTGTTGTCATCAAACAAATCCGAAAATTAAGTCGTATATGTTTTGATATGTATTTTATGTGAATGCTTTTTGTATGATATTTTTTCCCTGGAAATCTACCTATCATGTGAAATCACAACTTTTAGTGTTTATATTTTTATTTTCAGAGTGTTGATATTTTGTAGTGATTTGTAGATTTCTTGTTTATGTAGCAGTACCTAGCAGTACCTAAGCCAGAGTAACCTCCAGCTTTTGCGCAGATATAAGCATAACACAGTCAAAAGTCATTAATTCGGACACCCATAAACCGGAATGATCTGTAATCCGGACCTCAAAGCTAAAAACTTTCTGTGCATGCGCCGCGTTGACACATGCGCACAGGTATTTACGCGTGCGCGTAAGACCTTTTACGACTGCGCATATGTGTGTGCGCAAGCGCAGAATACGTTTTCGCGTGCGCGTTTTATGTATAACGGACAGTATAAGCTAAAATTATCTAATTATCTATTTCAGTTAATGTTGATGATTGTGTTGTTCCTTAATCTTCGAATTGGATCTGGCTTATTATTTTTTGCAGACTGTAAGAGCAATACTATAAAAGTAAACTTGAACTTTCGATTATGTCAAATAGAATTTCCGATTCTGGAGCTCCCAAAGGATCGTACAAAACGAAAGTATGTTTCGATGTCCATCAAACAAAAAGTGGAATTGCTGCACAAAATGGATAAAGACATGAAGAATGTGACAGAGAGGTTAGTGAAAACGAAAAAATTTCGATTGACAAGTTAGTCGGTATTCTCGGAACAGCAATTAACAGGACTTGAACAGTGGAACTTTGTAACTGAACAAGAAATTATGTCTGTTTATAGAATTAAAGAGAAAGTATTATCACATAAAACGAAGCAACTTAAACAACTTACATTGAAAGAAATGTTTAATAAAGTAAACAAATAAATATTAAGCTTTTTTTTTTTTGTAAATTTGGATACCCTTTAGATCATAATTGTTTCTTTATTTCATAAATTACGGTTTCATATTTTTAATTTTAGAATTTCTGCATGCCATCTTACGAGATTTAAACTGATGATCTATAATCCGGAATCGCCGAAGTCCCGACGAGTCCGGATTAACGACTTTTGACTGTAATATGGATGTTAATAATAGATATAATAATTTTGTACTTGTTAAAAGATAAAATAATGTGCCAACTTCAGAACATTAGTTCTTTCTTTATATGACAGTACTAGATATTATAGTGAATTTTCCATTACTCTATTCTTATGAAAAATTGAATTGCCATATGCTGTAAATTTTCATTTTTTCATTTCAAATTCTATTAATTTCTCATAAAATGGAAAAATTCATTCTATTCAGTACATTTTCTAAATAACATTGTGATCAATGTCAGTCATTTAAATATGAAAAACCATTGGCAGTGTGTTACTATTGCATAATATCAGTTTTTTGCCCTGTAAATTCTTCAACCATACATATAATATAAAGGTTACTTTACATACATTTATTACTTGCAGCTAATACTTTGCAATCAGGAAATCTGAACATGCTAAAATATGTGGATTACATAAACTGATTTTTAATGTTAATAAAAGAACATTTTACAGCAGTGGAACCACTTCCGATGTTACTGAGTTTTTAACCAGAATTGTTCTATATCATTAATATAACTTACTTTATTAATGTTCTATTTATTGTTTTGTATTTTATTTACTAATTAATTGTTTTTTCCACCTTTCATGGTGGTATTTTATAGGACTCCAGCAGCTCTAATTTTAGAAATTTAACCTTTCCACGGTACATTCATTCACCAGTACTGTAGTTCAAAATATTGGCATCAAATCTCAAATCATGAGTGCAGCAATATCATGACTGGTGAATTCTCCAATATCTATGACTGGTGAATTTTAGATGAGCTGTGTAATAGTTTATCTGAGTTTTTTAACCCCATCTAGATGAGCGTAACATATATGCATTGGCCACTGTCGTTACCTCACAGTCAGGTGTGTCGTATATCAATTGCCATTTAAAATTGTGGGTATAACACATGTAAATTTTTAGATAGACCATTTAGTTAGGAATTTTTTTCCCCCACTAGATGTAGCCCTATGTCTGTTATGGTAAAATTTATAGACGCTAGAGAATGTTAAACTTTATTCCATAGCAGTATTTTTAATTTTTGGTATTTTGTTTTGGAATCAAAAGGGAAATTGTGGGGATGAGTGATGTAAATAAACAGAACTGGAGAGATTTTATTTATTCCTATTTGAGTTTGGCTAGTGTTGAGGTGTATATTTTGTATATTGTGTATTGAAACATTTGTTATATTTCAAATAGCAAGGAAAGTATTATGATAATTTTTTAATTAATTCTGATAACTGTCTGAGAGATCTTCCCAATATGCAAAAAATTAAAACAACTGGATCACAAATTTAATTTATGCAACTTTTTTTTCCAAAAGTTATGCTTAGCAGTGAAAATTTCATCCCCACACAACACTGCATCCTGTTAGCACACTGTCCCGAAAAGCAGTTCAATGACTGAGGCAACCATTGTGAAAGGTTAATACCATCAGTTGGGCAGACACTTTCCAGTAACAATTTACTATCATTTTCTTTACTATTGTATGGTGCAACTGTATTAAAAAATGTCAGACGAACAGGGGTATAGCTACGGGAGGCAAGGAAGGATATCAGTCCCTGTGTGCGGCATCCAAAGGGTACCAGATTGATGTACCTCATTGCATTTTGGCAAACAAGATGGGTGCAAAATTTTCAGTTGCCCCCAGGCACTGAAATTGTTTTCACAGCTACATCTCAGCAGATAAAGAGTTTAGGAATAAAAGTGAAGAGGTTTTGTCATTTTTATAATTTGGAAAATTTTGGTAGTGAGGTAGAACTCTATTCAATTTTGAGAGAGAGAAAGTAAGAAGTTGGTAAAAGAAGTGACAACTCTTTTTCCACAGATAAAATATGCTGTTTTTATTTTTATGTTTCAGCTAAGTACTAGGAGTATTAATGTTAGTTCATTGGTATCTTGCATTAAGTAAAAATTTGGTTACAATCAAGAGTGACAAATGATTGAATGGGCTGTGTGTGCTAAGTGTGTATCAGAAGCTAGATCACAAAAGAAAAATCAAAATAGATAAAAAGTTGTAGAAAAATTTATCATAGACAGAAGACAAATTATAGCAGACTGAATTAACAGGCGAAAAAAGTTCAAACTTTTTATTCCTATTTTCCATACTTAAATAATCTGCTTACTGATGTATTTGAGATCAAGTCTTTACTTATTTATAGCAATGCACATGAGAACTGTCTGATCGAGAAAAACATATGTCTTCATGGAGGAGTTTCGAAGGAAGACATGAAAAAATGGAATTGTGCATGGAAAAAAAATCATGAAAAGGCTTGTGCTGCAAACCATTTCATCTGGATTGAAACTCTTGGGCTGGATTACTTGTACTTACTTTTGAGCCACATTATGTGTTGTGTTTCCACTTGGATACTATGGATGTATTCAAGTCCAGCCCTTAATTAATTTTCACAGTCTGATGCCATTTGTACCTTATAGCTCAAATGCCCATGAGCATTATGATGAAATATTATTTTTGAAGCCTGATTACTTTATAAAGAACTTTTATTGATCTCATAATTTGAACATTTTTATTGTGTATACAAAATAGCGTGAAATATTTTAATTTTGCCATAAAAAGGTTTGTGTATGTATGTTTAAAAATTTTTTTGTTAGCTGCAGAATATATGTCATGTGATATGTATTGATTAAATTTATTAAATTTAGTTAGTCATGAGTTTTTTTTAAAATTAATTTATCTTTTTTTCTTCCTTCCTCTTTTAAAGAAATTTCGTTTGGAAATTGGGGCTCAAGCGATGGATGCACTCATTAGAGTTTTAGAATGCGACAGATCTGATAATGAAATCCTAGGATATGCTTTAGAAGCCATATGTAATGTTGTAAATGGTCCAAGAGATGATGAAAGTATGACTTTTCTGCTAATATCTTAATTTACGTAAATGCTAGTATGATCTTATTTGTGAGGGATTAAATTTCATAAAGCTTTTACTAGAAAATATAAAATTTCATACTTTGCTTATTTTAGATTCAATGATTAGTATATTCTATACCTAAAATAACATATTTGCTTATCAAATTGACTTATGTTAATAAGAAAATATTGTGATTGTAAAATTGGAACAGTAAAAGACTGAACATCTGCCATGCCTGAAATCCATGCAGTCTTTCAGATGTGAACTGTAATGAAGATGGCTTTGACAATTTTTAATGATAAGTTTCCATATTTAGTAATGAAGTATACTACTATATTTTATTAATAATCTCTTTTTTGTCTCTATATTGAAACAAATATTTTGGCAAAAAATCATTAAACTTATAACTGAAGATTAATCTTGAGCTGTTTCAGTCAAACAAAATTTTAGTAATTGGAATTTTAATACTTTTTTGTGAACTCAGCAACATCAGCAAGAATTCGTGCAGATTATGTCAAAGATAACAACCTTGTTCTGCAAACCATGTCAAATGTTGTGGCTCAGTATTTTTTTTTAACTAGCCATATTTTGATAAATGGATTTGAGATTAAAGTTGCCAAACATTTAGATTGACCTGGACAATCTTGTTCTTTAAAAACTATGTAGGACTACATCCTGGATTGAAAAAAAAAATTGGGAATTTCATTGAATGTCTGTAAATGCTGAAGAATTATTAATGTACAGAAAAAAGGTAAAGCCATGAAATTCGATAAATTTTTTGAAGCATTGTAGGTAATTTTATTAACACAGCTTCATATTACTTCATATACATGTTTCACAGCAGATTCATCAGCGATGAACAAATGAGTCAGTTTCGGTTAGTTCTGCAGAATTGTCTCTTATTTTTGTATTTTTAGTACAAAGGGGCAGTTTACCTAGAAGGACTATTAATTTCATTTTGGCATTTTGTGTTGATCCACTGTAAGCATTGTTTGACTTTTCAAATTGTTGCCACCAAATATTATCACCCTGTATTATATTAAAAGAAATTAAATAATGAAGAATCTGCATAAATGTATGTATGTTTCTTGCATTGTGATGAAATGACCTAGAGCCATCAAATTTTGATAAACATAATCCTGTGAATACGGGTATCTGGAAGCCCAAATTTGAAACTTGGAATTTATTTTATTATCAATTTCATATTTTGTCAAACGTTGACGAATTTTTTATTAAAAAACTCAAAGATTTCAAAGCAAGCAGTAGCAACACTGTACGGAAATAAAATTTTTATCTCCAACGTGCAAGACCGTGTATCGGAAATTTTAAAGATATACTCATTTTAAAATTATTTTGAGATATTGCTCTTGAACTGAATTTTATGGTTAAAGTGCGAAGAGCATGATATTTAATAAATAAAGGTAACACATAAAATAAATTAAAAAAAAAAAGCTGCTTTGGACGTAATTTAAAATCTGAAACCTTTTAGATTTTTTATTATTATTATTGTTTCTGTCCTCCCCCAGTTTAGTGAATCTGTTGTTAAAATTAAATTATAATATTTATTAAGACACTTTGTCGCTGCATAATTAGTAGTTAACCATCATTTGCTTAAGCAGCAGACTGGTTCTTAAAGTATTTAAATCCTAACATTGAACATAGCTGAGAGAAAATGTATTCAATATAGTTTTCAATTATAATATTCTATATCTTAAATCCCTTGTTTTACCATTTATTTTTAGTTTTTCATACCAGTTTTAGTTTGCTATGCAGGACTGTATAATTTAATAGTCATAGGTTTTCATAACATCAGAAATTCTTTTTCATAAAGTGTGTACAGACATTAGGTATTTTTTTAAAGCAGGAGAGATGAAAAATTAGCAATGGCCTCGCCGGGACTTGAACTACGGACCTGTCGAATACACGCCAAGTGTGCTGGCCACTATATCACGAAGGCATGCTAAGAAGGCGGGAGAAATACCTTATATATTACCCTTTTTAAATGGCAACATGGGTTTAGGGAGGGCTGATCCTCGTGGTGGAAAATCATCATCTGCCACCTTTTTTAGTTTGGGTGCCACTGTAGAGACATTAGGTATTTTTTTAAAGCAGGAAAGATGAAAAATGAACAATGCCCTCAACAGGACTCAAACCACGGACCTCTTGGATATGTGCAGAGTGTGCTGACCACTACACCATGAAGGCATGCTAAGAGGGTAGGAGAAATACCTTATACCGTATATACCCGCGTATAAGTCGATACGATAAGTCCCCCCCCCCCCACTTCGACTTAAAAAATTCGTAGAAAATAAGAAACCCTCATATAAGTCGACCCCCCACTTCCGAAATCGATCGAGAAACTTCGGAAAAAATTTTTAAGTAATACATTTATTCAGAATCATCTGAGAAAAAAAGTAAATATATGATAAAAAAATACCTTGGTAAATAAACAAAATCAAAATCCTTCAACGCCCGATTCATGGTCAGATTCGCCAAACATTTCATAGAACTCTTCTGTTGTCATTGACTCGTCATCATACATATTTTCAGTCTTGAACTCTGTATTGTTACAATCACTACTAGAGCCTTCGTCGTCATTTTCACTTTCAAAAACAGCATCATCTTCCGTCCCGTCTAGTTCGTTGCTAATACAACATTTTTTAAATGATTTTATAATCATTTCAGAGAGTATTTCATTCCAAAACCCACTGAGCAATTAATGTAATATCGGGCTTTTTAATGTTGCCTTCTAGAATTTGAAGTTGATCGTATATAGTAACCTTCTAGAATTTGTTCCGGAAAAGGTTCGTGTACGTAAAATCTATCTGCATTTTCCTTTTTTAAAAGTTAAAAGAAATATTCAAAACTGTTCAGTTATTGCATGAGCTATCTTTTTTAATTTTGACGTGTACGCCTGTTAACAAAAGTATTTCATGAATGAACAATAACTATTATAAAGACTTATACGTACGTAAAAACTATCTGCATTTCTCTTTTCTTGGCGTGTTGGCGAAACTTTTTTATTGCTCGATATTGTTCGGTTGTTCGGGGGGGCCAAAAATTCTTTGGTTTAATCGAAACTTACTCTAGTTAAAGTATGAAACTCTATGATTAGTTCGTCACATAATTTAAGTCATGAAATTACTTCAAGTAAGTGACTTATTTGATAAGTCGTCCAATTTGAGTGCGGGAAGAAAACAACTGCGTTATATAAAGAAATTTTTGAACTTCCGATTCTTTTAATTTTTTATGGCCCTGCGCATAAGTCGACCCCCCACTTTGAAGTCTTTTTTTTTGTCCAAAATATCTCGACTTATATGCGGGTATATACGGTAAGTGTCTTCATCTCCCCTCCCCCAAGATACAATAATCCTATTGACATGAATTTTATGATTTGGCACTTGCCAGATAACAAAGAATTTGTAATTAAATTATTTCAGGAAAAGGAATTATACATGATAAAGTATATTTTCAGATAATTATGATTAGATTCTTGTCATTTCAGATGATATTTTCCACTATTTTATTTTTATTTCAAATGACATTTTGCAAAAGATTTATGTTTGAAGACATAACCTTTTGTTGGGAAAATATTGAAATTTTGTTACATATTAAAACTACCACCTTGGTGCAATCTAGTTATTTTTTACAGATAGAAAGGTAGAAATAATTATGAAGTGCAAGTTATTGATTTTAATGACTTTTTTGGAAAACAATCCAAATTACTGATATTTATCATTCAGTCAGCGAATAGTATAAACATATCAAAAGAAGGCACACTTAAAAAAATCTAAAGATTTTAAATATAAATTTTAAATATGGATTTTGTGACACATTGAAAATATAAATGGGTACATACATTTTTTGTGAAATTTTTTCTCAAATTTTTAGTACTGCTTTCCATGTATTCAGCAATCTCTAAATCATCTTACCATAGTTCCCTTCAGGGATTTTGTGGCAAAGTACTGTGTTCTAGTAGAAATTTTATAGCATTTCCTTTCATTGCTCACAAATCCCACAAATGATATTTTAAAATCGAGCTTGAGGCAAAAAAATATTACAGTTTCTGTATCAAAATTGTTGGAACTTGGAATACAAAAACAAGAACATAAACGAGAATGGTGATATTGCGTCCTGAAATATTGTTATATGACTGTAGTTGCTTGAAGAACAGTTATGCACACCTTTTCTAGAGTTTAGCTCATTCTGAAGATTTGGCTGCTTCTATTAAGGTGTTTGTGATAATATGTAACACCAAAATGTTTAATTTTTGCTACAATTAGAATTAAAAATAGTAATTTTGTCAGAACAGAATGGGAAGTTGTAAATTATTTCACTATTTCTTGTAAGTAGTAGTGAAAAAATGAATTTAGTATAACAAGATTATGTGACCATACTTACCTGGCACTGGAAACGTCTTGATCAGCAGGGCGATAATATTTGGTAGCAACAATTTGAAAAGTGAAACAATGTTTATAGTGAATCAACACAAAATGTCAAAATGAAATTAATAGTACTTCTGGGCAAATTGCCCCTTTGGACTTAAAGAAAAAAAAAGAAAGAAAAGAAAAAGAAACTTTTAAAAAGCATCTATATTTTCCAAACAACTGAATAATCTTAATTCTACCTGAAATTGCATTTGAATTCTGTATTTATTTAGGTGCTGATTATGTACCAGGAGCTGAAGATAACCTTGGGTTACAGTTTACTGAAATATTTATTAAAAAACCAGAAAATGTTACTTTGCTTTTGGAATTAATTGAGGTAATTTGATTGAGAATTTTTTTCTCTGCTTCTATTGCTTTTTATCCTCCTCCTTTTAATTTCTATGTTACATTTTATTCACAAATAATTATTTTATATAACTGATAATTTATTTGTCAAAGGCTTTATGCTTAGTATATGGTAATTTTTTTTAAAAAATATTTTTAGGTTCTTTACACGTTAAATACATAAATTTTGAGAAAGTAGTAAAGTGCAGAGAGAAAAAACTTTTGCTTAAAAAATAATAAAAAATAAATAAATAAATAAATAAAATAAAGCAAATTATAATATATATATATATTTTTAAAGAAGGGAAATAAAGTTATAAGGAATTGCCTTAGATTGGCATAAATTTATATATAATTATATAGTAAATTTATATATAATTGCATAAATTTATATATAATTTGTGGTACACCTAGTCCATGATAGCTCTGGTAGAACAAAATAGACTATAGTTTTAAATTTTCAACATTTATTTTATCTTTAATCTTTTATAGGAATATGATTTCAAAGTACGCTGGCCCATTGTTCGTCTTCTGAGTGGCCTACTGAGTCATAAACCAAAAGATTTACAGGAATGCATTCTGGTCAGTCCAATGGGTGTGTCACGGCTCATGGATTTGCTGTCTGATACCAGAGAGATTATTAGAAATGATGTAAGTTTCTATTATAAATTGTAAATTTTGTACTACAGACAGCCCTGTTACAATACAGTGTTCCTGCAATACAGATTCACTCTTATATGATTTGGGAATAAGGCTGTATCCTCTTATGACATTGCCTTTCTACAACAGTTTCTGTCACACAGTTTGACCAAGGAAGCTACTCTTACCAAATGCTTATGACCAAAATGTCAAATCTTCAAAATGATACTAAATTAAAATACACTAACTTCCCGTATTATGTAAGTAATGCATTTTGTAAATCTGTTTACAATTTGAATTTATAAATTGCATAAATGTAACTTCATAACAAACTGCAATCTTTAGTATTATTACATGTATGTATGTGTATTATGTATATGTTATTGGCAAAGTTTGAAATCCGGCATTCTATAGAGTGCTTAGTCATTGTATATAATGCATTGTTTTAGGCATTATATATAATGCCTAAAATTCACCAGCAATGCATGAAATGATTAAAATTTCGCACTTTTCCTAGGCATTCGATGGAATGCCCAAATGACAAACCAGCAAAGTATGAAATACATTTCCGATTTGTTTCGAAGAACTGAAACTACTTGCCAGATGTTCGTAAATGATGCTAAATAAGCCAAAATGACTACTAAGAAAGAGCCACGGAACTATTGGCTGCGAAGTTGTGAGGTAGATCTTAATGATTCTCAGTCTCAGCCAGATAGAAAGTACAAACTTACATTGTATAACGATCATCTCATTATTTGTTTTTTTATGTATTTCAAATAAAAGTTTTTTTAATGGCACTCTTTCATTAATTTTTCAAAATAACATTTGTATATTTGAGGAATGATTGTCTTTTACATACCTTGCCTAAAGAGTATTTGTCATTTTATTGAATGCCTAGATATTATATACAATGCCTAGAGAAAGTATTTCATAACTCTCATATTTCATACTTTGCCTAAAAATGTCAGGGCGTTATATACAATGCCTAGGCATTCTCTAGAATGCCAGTACTTCTTAGGAAGAAGGTGGAGAGTCGGAAATGTTTTAGTTCTGAATTTTAGTCTACAAGTAATTTGATTGGACAAGGGGTATCTGCATTAAAACATTACTTAACATGGAAAAATCTAGAATCTGGGTGAAAAGATGAATTTAGGGGCAGATCACTAAATTAAGAATGTTAATTCCGTGGTTGCCAATTATTTTTCAATGCAGCCATCATATTTTGTCATGTTTTACATATATATATGTTATCGGCAAAGAATGAAACACTGGCATAGAATGCCATGTTAAGTAATGTTTTAATGCAGATACCCCTTGTCCAATCAAATTAATTGTAGACCAAAACTCGGAACTAAAACATTTCCGACTCCCCACCTTCTTCCTAAGAACTACTGTGACACTCTTCCCTTTTACACATCAGCTCTCCTGCTGGCAGAACTCTTTTCATCCATGCTGCTGCCGCTTACTTGCTTAAGATGATGTCATACTTCAAAATGTACTCAAATATAAGTAGGAAACATCTTGTCTGCAAAAAGATGGTTTAATATACATAAAAAATAATAAAGATTGTGTTTCTTCAAGATCCGTTCTGCTAAATAAATGCGTCATCAGGCTTTTCCACTTAACCCTACCTTCAATCCACTATGGTCTTCTCAGCCATCTGTGATGTATCGTAAGCTTGAGTGCCTTCATCTACGCATTTTAAAATCATTACACACACATACATATATATATCATATTTTACTTTGTAGTCATGATGGCTGAGTGGAAAGGCAGGAAGAAGACGTTGACAAAAATCTTTATTTTTAGGGACATCAAAATCATTTCTTCATAGGCAATACACTTTTTAATCTAAGCAATTGCAATAATTTTTATACACACATGGTTAAAAAGCAAGATGTCATCTTAGACAAGAAAGCATAGAAGTGCACAGATGTTTGCAGGAGCGTCTTGCCAGGAGGAAAGTATAAACGAAAGTGTTGCAGCAATTCAGAAGAAGGGAGGGAATCAAAATGTTTCAGTTTGAATTAAAAAGTTTTGGTTTACAATTTGGTGATTGGCCAAGAGGTATCTGCATTAAGAGTTAGGTAGGATTGCATGATTAATTTGAATAATGCAGTTTAAACTTATAGCGCTATTTTTAAAATAGAGAGAGGAAGTTCCCAAATTAAATAAAAAAACAAAAGAGGTTATAGCTAATTAAAATTAAAAGTTTGCTTTCATATTTTTTTATCTTACACACACACACACACACACACACACATATATATATACACACACGTACACATTCATATTATTTGCACAGCATGACCTTATGAATGATTTTGCATTTTCAATTCTATTTTAAGAATAAATAAATAGAAAACTTTGATTGGATAAACTAGTAACTAAACTAACTGCACAAAAAATATTTGAATACAAGAAATTTTGGGTTTAGGAAAGAAGAAATTGCTTAGAGAATCTTTATTTCTAATTGGTAGTTTTCAATTCGAAAGTTGCATAATCTTATACGCTTATGTAACTCCAAATTTATGTAAACTGCATGTTACATAAACCCCAGGAGGCAGTTAATATGCAGTATAACTGAGAAAAATAAATTTTAAGGCAAAAAGATCATAAAAAATGAGGTAATTCATTACAATTAAAATTGCAGTTGTATTTTTTAACCTTCTGAGTGACATGGGTTTTTGGATCTACTAATAAAGATCTGCAATAAAACCATATTTAACAGTTGAATTTGTGTCATTACTTACTTATTTTAATCTCGGTTTTCATAAACTTTCATTCATTAAGATGATACAGTCAAAAGGGGGGGGGGAACGTCGCGACCCACAATGAACTGGAAGTTGATCTGTCAGCACTATCATTATCTTCAGGGCAGATGTTTTTATTTTATTCGGCTTATAATTCCTTACTAAATTTAGTATTTTATCTCGATGTACTCCGTCTTTGATATGATTTAAATCAAATTCCTCGTCATTATAAATATCACAAATACAAATCGAATAGTTTTCTGGTTGCAATTTTCTAATTTCGGCTTTGCGTAATGTATGCTTTACGCATGCACATTGAAAGAAATGTTTAATAAAGTAAACAAATAAATATTAAGCTTCTTTTTTTGTAAATTTTGATACCCTTTAGATCATAATTGCTCATTATTTTATAAATTACTGTTTCATATTTTTAATTTTATAATTTCTGCATGCCATCTTACCAGATTTAAACTGATGATCTATAATCCGGAAAAATCGAAAATCTGGAATCGCCAAAGTCCCGACGAGTCCGGATTAAAGACTTTTGACTGTATTTAAAATATTTTAAATTTTAAACTGATGCATACCAAGAGGAAAAAATAAAAATCCCATGACCAGATAAAGTGGTCAGGCCATTCAGTAGGTGAAATGAACTTTTTTCCTCTTATATAAGCACAAAATTTAAGAAAGAACGTCCTAAGGCTTTAAAGTAAAATTTATTAACTTCTCTCAGCTAAAAGCAAGGTGATAAAAAATAATAGAGTTCTGCTAAAAATAGAGCACAGAACTCAAATAGTGATAGAGAAAGCTCTGAAGATGAGATATTTTGTGAAAAAGAAAGAGCTGTTATTTTATGATAATTAGTAATGATGCAGAAGACAGCATTATGCAATGTTAATACCTAAAGTTTTTTCAGTTGTTTTAATATACGTATTTCTTTTTGTTACAAAATGAAAATAGTACTTCCTTGAAAAACTTTTAAACTTAAGTTTTTTTTTTTTTTTTTTTTTTTTTTTTTTTTTTTGTGTGTGTGTGTGTGTGTTAATGCATTGATTCATATAACAGTAATTCTTACAACATTTTTAGGAAACCTAGTGCGCAATGAACGGGAAGTTGATCTGTCAGCACTATCCTTATCTTCAGGGCAGATGTTTTTATTTTATTCGGCTTATAATTCCTTACTAAATGTAGTATTTGATCTCGATGTACTCCATTGTTGATATGATTTAAATCAAATTCCTTGTCATTATAAATATCACGAATACACATCAAATAGTTTTCTGGTTGCAATTTTCTGATTTCGACTATGCATAATGTATGCTTTACCATTGCGCGCATTGAAAGAAATGTTTGATAAAGTAAACAAATAAATATTAAGCTTTTTTTTTTGTAAATTTTGATACCCTTTTGATCATAATTGCTCTTTATTTCATAAATTATGGTTTCATATTTTTAATTTTATAATTTCCTGCCATTGTACCAGATTTAAACTGATGATCTATAATCCGGAATCGCCAAAGTCCCGACGAGTCCGGATTTAAGACTTTTGACTGTATTTATAAATAAATAGTTATTTAGGTACTGCATTGTTATACGGCCCCTGAGATTGAATCGCCAATCAGCTGAGATATCTTGCCAAAATCTAGCTGTGTGTTCTTATACCTTATCTCCTCACCACCTGATTGTGTATTAACACTGGCTGTATGTTGATATAGCTCGCTGCATGTATATTAATCACCGTGTTGCATTTTTGCTTTTGCCATGTGTTCTTATATTATTCATTTTTGATGAGGTTTTGAATTTGCATTGTTTATTTTAAAATATATTCATTGCTGTTTTGTTGTTTGTATGAGAATATGATGTTAACAATCCTTAATTTACCAAGTAATGAGGTGGATGTCATTATCATTACAAGGACACAACCCTGATCCTCCTAGCCAGCACAAGCCGACCATACGATAAAAAAAATCTGATGTGTGCACCACATGACTTCCTTGTACAGAATATTAAATTATACCCATTTTTTCTTGCATTTCATTTAACTTATTGGATTGAATTAAATCTACTTTGTCGATAGCACATAAACCACAATAGAATAAATGCACTCTTTAAAATTCACTTTATTTGTTTACCATAGCGATACTCTAGCCCTAGGTTCACTTAACAGCATTATATTTCATTCATATTATAACTCAGAATGCATATATATACATATATTTATATACTTTTGGGTGTGGCCGATTGCAACCAAAATACGAGGTGCACATCTACATGTTATAGCAGTCTTATATACAAAATTTCAACGTTCTGAGGCTACTCGTTTTTGAGTTATGCGAGATGGATACGTACATATGCACGCACAGACGCCACAAAAATTCTCTTCAGAATTCATTTTAAATTATTTTTACAATTTTCTTGGGGAAAAAGAGTTCTTTATCCTGTCCTTACGTACAGATGTCACGCAAAAACATCGTTAAATTGCATTCGATAGCAGTGAGAATGGATATTTGCATTGAAATATGATGCCTGAAACTTTTTGCGATTACAAGGAAGTAAAAAGGGACTGGCCAGAAGATGGATGCCATATAATTTTTTCAAGAGGTCTTTTACATGACAAACAACTATATGAAAATGGGCACAACATGAAAACGTATGTTAAGACTTAAACCATTTGCATATTCTGTGTTAAAAATAGCAAAAAGAAAAAGGGCCTCTGTGGTGGAAAATGATTGGTTCAAGCAGTTACAGAGTATCGTTTGTCACTGCTATTAGATTTATATATTTTAGGGCAGAGGAACCTGGTGTATCTGAAATTGGGTAACGAACAGCTTAATGTGTGTGAAAGTGCTGTAGTTGACTAGAACAATTACATGCTCTAAAATATTAATAATAATAAAGATTCTTAAAAATATTTTAGGAAACGACATGTGACTGTTATTGTTATTATTATGTATTGTGTTGTTTATTTTTACATTTGCACATCATGAGCTTGGCGAAATTATAGCCGAGATCTTGGTGGAAAGCTAAAATTTCAAAATACGGTTGGGGGTTACTATAACAAAGAAATATCATTATTAAAATATCGAGTCTGCTGTTATTAATTTTTATATTATATGACTTTATATAAATAAGTTAGTAGATAGAATTTTCGTAACTTCGAAAGTAGCGTACCTAATCTGAATGACAGATTTCAGTTATGAAGGCTGGGTAATTGGAGTTCTATTTTAACGTGTACAGATATTAGGTATTTTTTCGAAGCAGGCAAGATGAAAAATATGCAACGCCTTCGCCGGGAATCAAACCACAGACCTCTTAATTATGCTCTGAGTGTGCAGACCACCACATCACAAAGGCTCGCTAAGAAGGCGGGAGAAATACCTTATAAATGATTTATTAGTTAATTATGGAATTATAAAATTTACCAAAAATATGCTTGTACAGGGTTGTAAAATCTGAAAATCTGATGTAAAATTCAAAGTATAAAAATAACCACCAAAATATTTAAATTGCAGTTAATAAACTATGATATGGCTAAGTTGAAGAAAAATTCAAGGGAAAAAATAACAGAAATTTTTAATGTAAATTAAACAACTTAACCAAAGAAAGTAGGGGAAGAAAATTAATTTTGTGGATTTTCATGCATTTTTTTCCACACTGAATAATTCCTCATTCCTGAAGAAATTGTATGGAAGATATTTCATCATCAGGCAAGTCCAAATTTTTGAATCCATGGTAAACACAATAATAATAAAAACATAACATTACATTAAGACACAATAACACGCTGAATAAATACTAATTCAGAAGTCAAACAAAAAAAATCAGCATTATATTTACAAAATTTTCAGGGCTAGTACCATCCTCAGCTGCAAAACCGCGGTTTTGGTTCGGTAAAACCATCGAAACTAGTCCTGTGAAGATTTTGTAAATATAACGCTGATTTTTGTTGTTTGACTTCTGAATTAGTATAACATTACATTTTTGGAATTTGCATTCTCGCAGCCAATTTTTGACATTCTTTACTTTTTCTTTAAAAAGTTAACATTGTAATGACTTAAGAAGTAAACATCGGCGACTTCGTATGAACTAATCTCTTTGCGAGTTTATTAAAACATTTCGAGATGACTCCAATCCCGGTAACAGAACAGTACCACGGTGCAAATAGGCCCCAACTTATGATAGTGTACACTATCATAAGTTATATTAGTTATTCATTGTCATATTCTTTTTACAGGAGGCAAAAGATTTTTACAATGAACATCAATTGTAGTATTTGTTTTTAACATGAAATTAATGATTGCAGAAATGAAGTTTTTTTATTACTATTATTATTATTTCAGTTTTCAGTAATTTCTACTGCTGTATCCTCTTTTTTAATTTTTCTCAGTGTGATCCTGAACTGTTGGTGTAATAGTTATTGCCTACAATACTAGTTATATCTATTTGGTTATGTAGATACCTAGCCAGTAGTTGTTATTACTTACATATGTACAATTATTTACAATATACGTATACAAACGTCAGACCATTGGAATGATTTCTGAATCATGAAAGAAAATAAAAGATCATTATATAGATGGTCCAGAAGTCTTTGGCACATTTAAAATTTCATTTTGTAAAAATATAAATAATAGAAATGTGAAATTTATTGATATTGTTTCAAGTATTATCATATTATTAACAAAATTTTATCTAAAATATATATAATTGATTCTCAGTTTCAGTCTGGATACTTATTAAAATTATGAAGCATTTTAATTTGTAAGAGGGAAAGTGATTTATTTGTGTGTATAAATTTCTCAATTCTTTGTTTCTCAATTCTTTGTTGTATTTCATTTTGTCTTTTAACATACTTCACAAGATGGACCCTTAAAATCAGTAGTGTTATACAAAGTAACTAAGGTTGCTTTTTTGCTTAATTTTAAATGATTGATTAAAACTGAAACCAAGTTGTTTAGTGACTCAGTCCCTTACTTGGCAACATTTCTCTGTCACTTGGCAATTTTCATAATCTGTTTTGATCTTATTTGGCAACTTAAGTTGAAAAAACTTTACTCTCTAACACTGTGATCATATTAACCAAATTGTTGATCATATTAAGTGAAGTATTTTTCATGTTTTCACTATATAAACAAGTGGGACTTTGGCAATTAAATAACAATAATCACATTAAGTAGCACCTAATACATTGCAATCTTAAAATTTTTTTAAATATATTTTCTGTGTATATTTAAAAACAGTTTGGTACTTGCATATTAATGCCACCGCAGCAGAAGTTGCGCTGATGCACCAATAAAGAGCAATCCTGTTGTTCACACGCAGTTATCTTTTTGTCTTGTTGTTTACTGATATTTGACGCCATCTTTTAGTGCTACGAAAATGCATCTTTGGGATTTGCCAAACACAGAAGAAGATGGAATTTTATTTTTTCAGGCGCGAAATATTTTACCAAAAAAATGAAAATGTATTATTTCGCATGATATGAAACTTTATTTTGGTAAACGTACGTTTTGGAAATGTAATTTAAGACAGTGATATCAGCAAGTGGGACTTAGAAAAGACAACTGGTTTGAAGGAAACAGAATTCCATTTTGTTCAGCTTTGAGATTCATATACTGCTGGTGCGAGGAGTTGACGCCGATTAAGTTTTATGAAAAGCAACTTGATTTATCGGATAAAACTCTTAAAGATTGGAACAATTACATGCGTGAATTATGTGTCTTGGATATGGAGAATAAACCAAACAAGAAGGTAGGTGCACCAGATTGCATTGTGGAAATTGATGAAAGTTTGTTTACTAAGCATAAAAATAATTGTGGTTCGAATATTACCCGAACAGTGGGTGTTTGGTGATATATGTAGAGAAACAAAAGAAATAGAACTGGCTCTACCCTTCTTAATAAAATTATTGGAAACATTACGGATGGTAGCACAATTTATTCTGACAGTTGAAAAAGTTACCAAACAAATAGAATAGAAAAGAAGGATTCCTACATGCTAAAGTTAATCATAAATACAATTTTATTGATCCTGATGCAGGAGTTCATACACAAACAGTTGAGAGAATGTGAGGCAGGGCTGAGTGGAGGAGCAAGAGACAATAGGGGGACAGCGAGACATAATTTAGAATCTTATTTAGAAGAGTTAATATGGTGACAGCATCGGGTTAAAGAAAATAAGAGACTGTTTTAAACCTATGTTAAACTCTATATAAACCCATTTTCCACCAAAATCCGATTGACTAGTTTGATTTTTAAAAAAGTGTTTTAATTTATAATTTGTCGCAAAAATTTTAAATGCACACTTAAAAACCGCCAAATCTGCAGCTGCGGTGGTGTTAATACGCAAGTACCAAATTTTTTTTTTTTTTTTTTTTTTTTTTAAATAAACGACATAGGATTTTCAAGTAACTTGTATTTTAAATATGAAATGGCAAGAAATTTCATGACTTGATAAAAACAGTCATTCCATTCAAAAGGTCAAAACTGATGACAGTACAGACATTTAAGAAAAAAATTATATTTCCTTTTAATAAGCAATGTTAGTGAAAATGCTATCTATTTTTTTTCCAGACTTTATTGTTACTGGAGCATTTGACTAAAAGTAATGCCAATATTCAGAAAATTGTGGCATTTGAGAATGGTTTTGATAAACTTCTTAACATTGTATCTGAAGAAGGTTTCAGTGATGGAGGTAACACCTTTTTATAAATAATTGTATATTTAACATTCTGCTAAAATTTTAAGTTTGGAGAAAATAGAGTAAAGCTTTTTAGAACAGTCAAAGAGTTACTGTTATCGATTCAGTAGTAGATATATTTGATAAGCCATAAGCTTTTAATTTTTAATAAAATGCCAATTTTTTTTCATTTATATATCATCTTTTATGATATATATTGTTGAATTGAAAAATGTTGCTTTGAAATGAAATGTTTATTGAAATTTTAAAAAGAAAATGCTTATTTTTATTAATTTATATTTAAGCAGTCCTGTAGTTTTGAAATGATTTAAATTTTTTTAAGCCCAGAAGGGCTATTAATTTCATTTCGGCATTTTGCGTTGATTCAGCATAAACAGCAAATCACTCTTTAAATTGTTGCCACCAAATATTAGAGCCCTGTATTATAGTTAAAGAAATAATATGAAGAATCTGCATCGATATATGTATATTTCTCACATTGTAATAAAATAATGGTGTCTAGAGCCATCAAATTTTGAATAACGTACGCCTCAACCCAAATATGGCCATCTGGAAGCCCAAATTTGGAATTTGTTTTATTATCTATTTCATATTTTATAAAGAATTTGAGTTTTTGATTGAGAAATTGATCGATTTCAAAGCGAGCAATGGCAACACTTCATGAAAAAACATTTTTATTTCCAGCATGAGAGACTGTGTATCGGAAACTCTAAAGATGTGATCTTTTAAATATTTTGTGATATTACTGTTGAATTGAATTTTATGGTTTAAGTGCTAAGAACACGATATTTAATAAACAAAGTAGTACTCAAAATGTTTTAAAAATGCTCCTTTGGGCATAACATAAAATCTGAAATTTTTCAGATTTTTTTTTTTTTTATCATAAAGCCTGTCAATTTCGAATGTACTAAATCAAATGCAATATATCTAGAAAAGTTTTTGATATTTGGGTATTAGGCATTACTTTCTAATACATCTGCAAGAATACCACTCAAGACACTGCTTATGTGTGAGCAGTTACTGGCAATCTTAGAATCTTTTCCTGATTCTTCAGGGAAGAAACATTTATATTTGTTTGTTTATGTGTGTTTCTGTTAAGGTCAGGTTTGTTTTCTCCCTGTCAGTATCAACTTCAATGTATTGAGAGCAAGTGCATATGCGCATAACAGCTTTTTTCATTAACTATGTGTAACTAAAAAGTTATCAAAACAGTATTTGTTCATTATCATGTTATCTTTTATTGCTTTTTGCTTCAGTGTTTTCTGTATTTGCAAAAATGTAAAGTAGATTTACCATTATTCCCAAATGTGTGGTATATTGCTAAAAAATATGTGTGTTTCAACTCTTACACAGTGAAACTATGCAAGACAGAAGATATTTGATAGAAATGTAATGTTGACAGATGTCAATAATTGTAAAATTACTACAAAGTTGGTACAAAATTCTTTGTACCAACTTTGTAGTAATACTATGATAGATGCTTTTTTAACCTACTTTTAAATTTCACAGATGCCAACAAAATTTTGGACTAAGATTTTGTGAAATGGTTTGAGAAAAGTTGCTTATATCCTTATTTAGCAGAGTTCATGTGGATGCAATTGCCTTACAGTAACCGCAGGAAATTAAAAGTACCTGTTTAAGGAGTTTGCTGATACCAAATGCTCATTTTATCCAAAAAGTATCAATAGATTGTTGCCAGTAGATCTGCAAGTGTTGAATGCACAAATATAACATTTTTTGGATATTTAGATGTAACAAAAATTCTTTGTACCTACTTTGTAATAATATTAAGATAGATGCTCTTTTAACCTGCTTTTAAGTTTAATTGATGTTATAACTGCATTTCAAATAGAAAACCCATTTAAAATACTTTTTTTGCAAAGAATCCTGCAGAGTATTGAAAGAAGAGTCTGCTTGCTGTTTGCAATATTCAGACATTGTATCCTATTTATCAGTATATTAGGCTATCACAGTTATTATTTTGCTTTCACAAGGAATGGTGGACAAAATGGTAGACAAAGGGCACCTAGGGACATCACATATTCACAATTCTCTGATACCTGTTAAGAAGTGAGATCTACATCTGATTGCCCTCAAAATCAATAGTTATATTCAAAGTATAAGCCAAATTAGATTGCTTTCCCCCCTTTTTTGTGTTGTTGTTGTTGTTGTTGCCTGTTTAGAATTAAAAGGTGCAAAAGAGTAGCAGGATGTGTATTATTTTTTCTGCTATTCAAGTACTTCAGTTTTTTGGGTATTCTTGAAGCTGATTAACACTACCGAAGATCACTGATATTAATTTTTTTATAAGCGTTAAATGATATTTTGAAAATGTTTCAAAATGCACGTGTATTTTGTTCATTAGCCATGTTTTTCTCAAAAGTTGTATTAATATTTTAAGGCCTTATTTCTGTATGCTTGGAGGTTATATAACTGCTGCTTGAAAGCATTTCATTTATTCCAAATGAATAAAATTCATGTTTAGAGAGCAGTGAACAAACTTGCTTTTTATGACTTAGTGTCTTTTAAATATATGTGTATGTGTACAGAATAAATCAAAATATATGGTAGTTAAAACATGAATATAATATTTTCATATCTATCTACCGAATATTCCAAATTTTTCATAAATTTTAATAATTTTTAAAGCTAATGCATAGAAATAAATGTAATAAAAATCTGAAATTATATGGAAGTTATATGTGTTCTGCAAAATTAAAAAATTGTGTTTCTCGCTCTCTCTCTCTCTTTTTTTTTTTTTTTTTTTTGTATATGAGACATTTATAGTTATTATTTATTACAAAAGTATCGATATATTCTGTTTTAGACTTGAATGAATTTTTTTCAATTACTTTTAAATCTTAAAGGTGGAACTTAATAAATATATTATTCATTCATTGGTATTCAGTTTAAGCGTACATGGCTGTATGGTATTTTTATACTTATTCTTAATGTGTCTATTTTAGGGGTAATCGTTGGAGATTGCTTACGGGTAATGTTAACCTTATTAAAAAACAACACATCAAATCAAACATTTTTTAAAGAAGGTTCGTACATTAAACATTTAGCACCATTTTTTGATCTGCAAGAGTCATATGAAAGAGGCTGGAACCAGCAGAAGGCAGTAAATACTTTAACTATGCTACAGGTTTGTAAATTAAATCTTAATTATGGAGATTTATATTTAAGAGTTATTCTTGACTGTTAAAATTTCCGTTATGCATATTGATATTTTGTAAACTTAATTATTTTCCATTTTCAGATAATTAGAGTTTTGGTATCACCTAACAATCCTCAGCAGGTAACAATGGCTGCTCAGAAAGCTATGTTTCAATTTGGTGAGTGATATTAATTTTTAAAGGTTTGTTTTAATGTTAAAAACATAAGTGTTTCGATTGTTTTTCCCTCAAATTACAAAAGTTTTGACACATTGCACTATGTTACCTTGCACTACTATGCATTAACACATTTATCACTATAGACAAGATATCTCGTCTTCCAGCAATAGTCATGAAGTGCTTAGCGACATTTTGCTCCCTGAATTATTTCCCTTTCATATTACATCAGTGTGTGCCAGAGTTCTTGAATAACTGAATCAGCTTATTGAATTGAAATATTAAAAAAGGCAAATTTATCATCAAACCAGATTGTATTTTGGATTACAAAAAATAGATATTGCTAGATTTGATTAACTGTTTTCTACTACTCATCATTGCATAGATCATTAAAATGGTACAGAAGAGTTGTGTTTCAGCAATATTATATGACACCCATGCAATGCAAACTAAAACCTGTGGGAAGCAATTGCAGATGTGGTTTCTTGAGTAAATTATTTATCCGTTGCTAAAGTGAAAATGATACAGTAATTTTTGTTTCCTTATCTCCTATGTCATATATGGTGAAATGCATTGTAAATAAATGGGCAATGTTAGGTGAAAGCTGCATGTAATGGAAGTACGTCAGCTGTAATTGGCACCAAATTAGGATGAGGAATTTGCATTATGTATAATAAAGTGAATGAAATTCTAATAATATGAGTATAATAGTATGAAAATTCTAATAATATGTCACTAACTCAGAATAAGACTTGTATATACATGTAACACACTCATTTCATCATTTTATTGTTAAAATTTTTTTTTTTTTTTTTTAAATCTTTAAACAGTAGATAGTTCTTGGGTGGGCCATAAGAGCAGTGTGTTAGTGACTTGAAAGCTGTTGCCATTAAGCAGAACATAATTTATCTTCTTAGCTTTGCAAAAAATCAGTTCTCAAAGTATTATCATTTATCAAAGTATAAGATCTCTAATTCATCTTTCAAGTTTAATTATTCTGGAATTGTTGCATAAACTGGATGATTTAAAAACAATAAACGCACTTTTAATAAAAATGAACATGCCAAAGTACCAATGTCAAAGATACTATAGAAAAAGAATGAGCATACATTGAAAAAAATTGCAGGACTATAGTTTTGAAGCTTAATTAGAACCTTCTTCAGCTGCAGAAGTGAAGATGATAAATATGAAGCATGTACTCATGTGATAACAATAGACAAAATTTTAAAAGAGTTCCAGTGATGAAAGAAGAAACAAAACCACTGACACCATTTATTGACAAAAAATTAATGTTTTTAATTTTTGGAATTTTCTCAACTGTTTTATTTTATTGCTAAAGCATGAACACAGATTTCTTCGTAGTCATTTTCACTCCTGCAGTTGAAGAAAATGTTCTGTTTAAGCTTTATTTCAAAGCTTAAACAGAACATTTTCTCCAGAACTTTGTTTTTTGTTTCTTCTTTCTTTCTGTTTTTTCTTTCTTTGTTTCTTGTTTTCTGTTTCCGTTTCCTCAGAAGTCCTGCAAATTTTTCCACCTTACACTGGTTTACAACTTACGCTGATTTTCCAACTTAATACTAATTGTTATAGTAACTTTAATAAAATAGATATGTTTCTAGCAATATAACTTAGCAATTTATTTTTTACATTTTGTAATATCTAATTAATATAGTTTTAAAATGTATTTGATTTATAATATATTCAGTTGATGGTTTTTAAAACATTTGCAACTTTTAATTTATTAAAAGCTATTTTTAATGTTATGTATTACATATTTTAAAATTTCCAGCATATGTTCTTTTATATGAATTAAGAAAAGCATTTTATGAGTTATTATCTCATAACAATGCAATGCTGAATATTTAGTATTAGGTTTATATCTGAACTTAAAAACAACATGAGATATTTTGTTTAAAAATGTAATGTTTTTTTTAAATAATTTTGATTAAAGGGTTGTTGGAACAGTTATCTTCCATTTTGATGGCTACTGGAGTTCCTGCAGATGTTTTAACAGAGGTATGTATCATATTTTTTTATGAAAAATTAGAAAAGAAGTACATTACCTTCTTTTAGGGGGGGGGCAAATATGTACATTTAGCACTCGCTTATTAGTAAAAGCACTATCACAAAATTTGCAGAATTTGCCAAATTTTCAGGATGTTTATCAAATTCTGGCGACCGTGCTAACACTGCCATCTTTTTATATGCTCCTTTTGTAGTAGCTTTTGATATTTAGGTTGCTAACAAATAATAGGACTATTTTTGTAATTTTAGAGCGGAATTTTTTCCTATTGACTGGCATTTCTTATGTGAATTATATTTTGTATATGCTGAGTTATCCAACATTTTTATGCAACCAGAATTTGGCATTTCCTAAGCTTTCTGGATAGTCGAGCTTATATTGTAACTAAATTTGAGTAATAAATTTATAAACAAATTATATTTTACTTACAAAACAATCAACTGAAAGTGATAGTTTACTTAAAGCTTGTTCCTATTCCAGGAGGTCATTTGCTGGCCACATTAGATTTTTCATTTCTTTATTGATTTACGTTTAAATTAGAGATGCAGTCATTATTTACAGGCAGACGTTATTTGAAACTAAAATTATTCCATATTTTTATCTTTCTCTGCAGCTATTGCATTGTTATATATTTTCTTTTCATAAATTTATTACCCTAACTAATAGTGCTGTTTAAATTTTTGATCATGTAAATAGTATGTGTTTTTTTTAATTGAATATTTAAATTCCTTGTGCACCACATAGTATTATACATGGTGTATAGAGGTAAGTAAAAAAAGAAACAAGAACAACAACATAAAATAAAATAACTTACAAACTCAACAGATGAGAAGTAAGACATAAATATACAGAAAAAAGAGAATGCCATTTTATCTTGGAACAAATACATGACTTAAAGGAGGAAATGTAATGTTCACAGAGTGTAACTTAAAACACGAGTTCTTTCTGTCCTTCCATAAGCTGTGAACAATAGAACAACAAATGCTTGACATTTTGCCATCCCCGAAGCTGCAGGAACACAAGTCTGTATTAGGTAATCCAAATCTCCAAATCTGTAAACCCAATAATATGTGATGTGTACTTCTTTTTTTTTAATTGTTAGAAAATCTGTCATTTTTTCTTAGCTTTTCGATAATTGTCTTAATTATGCTAATTTTTTAGATACTGTGCATTTAAGGTTGACTTATATTCTGAATATACCTGAATTTAATGATTATTTTAACTAAAATCTGTTATAGACCACATCAACTCAGATGCTAAAAAATACAGTTTATGTATATATGTATTTGTATAAACACATAAAGAATTATTCTTAATGCTATGAACTGTTTTAAAAATTTATAACAAATTATGCGATTGTTGTAGTATTGCACTGAAATAGAGGCAATTGCATCAAGTTTTCTTGTATATATTTCACAAATGCTCTGTGTGTCCCACCTTTTCTGATATAGTGGATTTCCATAAAGTAACTGTTTTATCCTGTATATATATCTATATCAACCAAAGTGAGTCATTTAAAGCAAAGTTATGAAGATTTTGAAGGATTAGGGGGGGGGTAAAGTCACAAAGCTATTACCTCGCATGAAAAAATTGCAAGATTTCGTAAGCTTGTCATGGCCATTGCATTAAAGCATTATCTCCTCATGCTGCATGTCATATCCACTTTAGGGGCAAAATTTTTATTGAGATACTATAGCAAAAATAATCTGTATTTTTGTAAAAAATTATAACTGTGATACTTTTCAAATAGGATTTATGGTAATAAGCTGAATGACTGTCTTGGTAAAACAGGGTTCGTACGGTTCTTAAAAGTCCTTAAATTTTTCAAAAAGGATTTTTGGTCCTTAAAAGTCCTTAATTTTGGTCAAAATTAATAAACGGTCCTTAATTTTGCTCATTTGACATTTCTTATCATTACTAATGATTGCCATTATAAGTGTGAAATGCGATTTCTCATGAATATGGAATTAAAATTACACGGCTCTTAACCAATCTGTTGGCGGATTTGCGTTGCAAATGATAAAAAACAAATTAGCTACCCCGTAGAACGAAAGTATCAGGTGTCTGATTGGCTATTCACCCAATCTTTCGAAACAGGTGTTATCCATAAATTTAGGCAGATTGTGATGAAAGCGTGAAGCCGGAAGTTCTTTAAGAGGCGAAAGTGATGATGAAGGTGCTCGAGAAAAAAAAGGGGGGGGATTCTGAAAATATTTGCCAAAATTAGAACAATCCCAACCTGGAAGGCCACAACCCTCCGACGCCAATAGGAACGAGATGCCTGGAAAGTGCATTTTCAATAAACTGTGGCTTCATCAAGCTGACTACAAAGACTGGATATTGATGGATGACAATCCTTATAAAGCTAAATGTGGTCTTTGTCTGAAACAAATTGAAATTTCTAGAATGGGAGAGTCAGCGCTGAAAATTCACATGAAAAGCTAAGTTTCGTTTTATCATTTCAATTTGTTTTTACACGGTTTTGCTTACCTTAATTTCTGTGTTTGTTTGAATAAAGCCATAAATTAATTTTTGATCACCTTCTATGGAGTTTATTCTCTTTTGCACATACTGTCAAAAGTCGTTAATCCGGACTCGTCGGGACTTCGGCGATTCCGGATTATCGATTTTTCCGTATTATAGATCATCAGTTTAAATCTGGTAAGATGGCATGCAGAAATTACAAAATTAAAAATATGAAACTGTAATTTATGAAATAAAGAACAATTATGATCTAAAGGGTATCAAAATTTACAAAAAGAAAAAGCTTAATATTTATTTGTTTACTTTATTAAACATTTCCTTCAATGTAAGTTGCTTCGTTTCATGTGATAATACTTTCTCTTTAATTCTATTAAACAGACATAATTTCTTGTTTAGTTACAAAGTTCCGCTGTTCAAGTCCTATAATTGCTGTGTTGAGAATACCGACTAATTTGTCAATCGAAATGTTTTCGTTTTCAATAACCTCTGGGTCACTTTCTCACTATCCGAAGCGGGAACTTGATTTAATCATATCAAAGACAGAGTACATCCAGATGAAATACTACACTTAGTACGGAATTATAAACCAAATAAAATAAAAACATCTGCCCTGAAGATAAGGATAGTGCTGACAGATCAACTTCCAATCCGCTGCGTGAAATTGATAAACAGATTTCGGATTTCAAAACATACTTTCGCTTTGTAGATACAAATTACATATTAGTAAATATATATCGGAAATTCTATTTGACATAATCTTTCTGATCTATCATAATCTAATAATGACGTTTCTGCCCCCCCCCCTCTGCCGCAGAGCAGCGTGAAATTGATAAACAGATTTCGGATTTCAAAACATACTTTCGCTTTGTAGTAAATATATATCGGAAATTCTATTTGACATAATCGAAAGTTCAAGCTTACTTTTATAAAATTGCTCTAACAGTCTGCAAAAAATAATAAGCTGGATCCAATTCGAAGATTAAGGAACAACACAATCTGCAACATTAACTGAATTAGATAACTTTAACTTAGCATATAACTTCCGTTACACATTAAACGCACATGCGCACAAACATATTCGCAGCCGTAAGGGTCTTACGCGTTCTCGTAAATGCCTGTGCGCATGCGTGAACGCGACGCATGCGCAGAAAGTTTGTAGCTTTGAGGTCCGGATTATAGATCATTCCGGATTATGGGTGTCCGAATTAACGACTTTTGATTGTATGTGTATGGGATATCGGGATTATGAGTTTATTTCTGCAGAGGGTCTGTTATCGATTTCGCGGGAAATCTATTGGCTCCATTTCGATTTTAGGTCGCCAAGGGCAAATTCGGGAATGCTAGCCGAAAAAAAGTGAAGTTCGGAAATACATTTTGAAGCTTCAATAGACAATTAAGTATTTGGTTTAATCCTATGCACAAGGTATCCGTTGCATAAGGGATTTGGCTACTTTTGGCAACTTTATGATAAGCAGTAAACGGGACATATACGATGAGTAGTTAAACGGGTCATTTTGGTGTTGGCGATAATTTTCAAAATTGCACCAAGGCTGTATCGTATACTAGAATTTTATTAAGTATTTTTATAAAAGGAATACTGCTTTCAGAAGAATGTTATTGAATTTTAATATCGCATCAGTTATCCAAATAGTTGGTCAATATAAAATTTCATTGTGATAATGATTGAAATTATCTTTTGTTATTAAGCTAATTTCACCTATTTATAACTATAAATTAAAATAAAAGCTAAATCCTGAATAGAAAGTCAGTGTTGAAATGATAAGGAAAAAATAAAAGAAATGGAAGATTAATAAATTAAAAGAAAATGACCGATAAGCGGAATGGTTGCTACACGGAGAAAACGCGTTCATGGTATTGCCAATATAGCATTCTTATGGCAATTTTAGCGATTTATTGGAATCTCTGCAGGAATGCTTGCCTAGAATATTTTGCGATGTCGCAATTTTTTATCGATATAGTACATTTTTTAAGTGTTAAAATATAATGTGTAAGAAAAATTCATACATTTTTGTTTAACAATAAAACCAATTATTGCAGAATTTTTATCTTTGCTCCATCATCTGATAGATAAAGAAATAATGTTTTAATTAAAATTTTCTGCTGTGAAGTTCTGTTGTTACCGATGGTTGCAAAATGTCCCAGCAGTTGAAAGAGCCATTGAAATATGGGGTGGCTTGCTACTGTACATTAAAAAAGTTTAAATGGGGAAGTTTAAAAAAAAATTCATCGAAATCCTTCTCAAATATTTTGGAGGCAACTAAAAAACATTTCTTATAAAATTAAATTTTTTTTCTCTCTCTGTCGAAAATATTATTGCCTTTTCTTGAATATTATCAAAGTGATAAACTACTTATTCCCTTTTTTGCTGAAGATATCTTAAAACTTGTAAATGATTGCTTTTAGCACTTTAAAATTTTGAAACTAGAATATTCAAAAATAACTAAAGCAGAAAATCTGGTACTCTTCGGTTTCGAGGGCCGTAAAAAATCGCCAAACTATTGTTGATGCCAATGCTGCCAAAAATAATTGCGGCAACCCTAATAATTGCGGCAAGAAAGGAAGTATAATAGTAAATAACTATTTAAGATTGATGTTTTAATTTAGATGAAAGGTTAATTTCATATAATACTTTTTTATTATTATAATTTATATGAAAAAGGCTAAACATGACTGAATGGAAGCATAAGAGTAAATAACTATTTCAGATCATTATTATAATTTATATAAAAATTGCTAAACTGAATGGATGCCTGCATCGCTATTTTTCGCTACCGACTTATCGCTAAAGCATAATTACATCTCGTTGGTTGTTCAAACATTAATTTTCTATAAATGAATGATGCCTTTTCTTTGAAAATATTCTCGGTAAAGTGCAGAATCGCTCCACTTATTTGTTTGCCGCTTTTTACAAGGGTAAAAACAATTAGATTTTTGTCAATTTTCTTTTTACTTTTTTAGTGAAAATAGGTCGATGTGTACATAGATAAAGTCAAGGGTGTGCGCAGTGCCATTTTTGTGCAATTCTAGGATTTTTTTAAAGTAAAAATAGGTCGATGTGCACATGGATACCGAGTATTTGCACTTCTTAAAAACGCATCAAGCAGTGGGTGATTCTGCACTTTACCCAAAATTCTATTGCCGACTTTTCGTCATGGGCAATTCCCAAATTGTGAAATCCATAGGATATCAAAAAAGGATTTAAAATCAAAAAATAATTTTAAAATTAAACTAGTATTTCAGTGGCTTCTTAAGAAATATAAAACTATATAAACATGCGCAATTTGAAATCAGCGCATACGCTAGATTTGGGGTGCTGTTAAATGGGCTCGTTTGCTAGATTTGGTGCTTTTGCACGTACATTTTCGCTGCAATTTTTTTACAGCCCTCGAAACCAAATAGTACCGAAAATCTTTATAAATTTAATTTTAATGATCCAAATTGTTATAATGATAAAAGTAAAGTTTATTTGGGATTCATTGCTGAGCAGTTAATGAATGATAAATGCCACAAGAAGGACATTTCACAAGCTGCAAGTTTTGCATTGAAACAAGAAGGTCAACAATGTGTCTTAACAATGGTACAACACTTAATGGCTAAATGTCCAATAAATTATTCTCTTATTCGAAATGCATCTTGTATAGACCCACAGTTGATGGCTAAAAGTCTAGAAAAAGCCCAGAACAAAATGAAAATAGTTCTAACCGTATAAACGTGGAATATAAACATGTTTTACAAGATAATTGTGATGAAATTCTGCTGCAGTTTGGAGAGATTCTAGACAAAGTAGTTAAGACAAATTTACATGAATTTTCTACTTTTCATTCTCAAAATCTTTCTCTTGACACATTTTTCACTTCTTATTTTCATGATTTTCACTATTCTAAAGTATGGAAAATAGTGAAAATGATTCTTATCTTGTCACATGGACAGGCCTTTGTGGAAAAGGGCTTCTCTGTAAATAAAGCAATTGAAATTGAAAATTTAAGTGACTCATCATACATTTCTCAACGCACAGTATTTGATTACATAAAATTTTCTGGAGGTATTCTTAATATCGAAATTAATAAAGAAATAATATCAGCAGCAGCTTCGATAGATGCTTTTAACAGATGAAGCCGAGACCAGCAGGAACATTGATTTGTTTATCAAAACAAATGAACTTAGAAGAATAGTTAAAGAAAAGGAAATAGACATAAATAAATTAGATGTTAAAATATCTGAAAAAATTTCAGATTTTAAAAAAGCATAAATGTTTTGTATCTTTTATCGCATAGTTTATTATTCTAGTATCTTTCAAAAAAACCAAAGAAATAAATTGTATGTTTACAAATCTGTTATTTTAATCTGAAAAATATTATTACATTGCAATTATAATAGTAGTTGACTGTGTTTAAATAAATATCAAATAAGTTAAATAATAATCATGTAAATCTCTAAAATATCTGTGGCTGTTATTAGTGTGAAATACACTTATACAAGTTTTTCAAGAAATTATGTTCTTAATTTAATGTTATCTACTTCATAACTTGTAGGGAGTTCGTTTAATTTTCAAAATTGTTTTATGTTAAGTATTAAATTGAATTTAATAATAGTGCATAATGCACACTTCTGTTAGTTTCTTAAATGGATAATTGCTTTATTCTATTCGTTTTTTTTTTTTTTTTCCTTTTTTTTTTTTCTGATAGGTTCTTAATTATTTCTTTGATGGTCCTTAACCCCTTAACTGCCGCGGGCGTATATATACGCCTTGCTCAGCCGATGCGTTAACTGCCCCAGGCGTATATATACGTCCTTCCAAACTGCTATCATTTGCTTTGTGCTGCTACACCTAAAATTATTCGCAAAGTTAACGCATCGGCTGCGCATCTGGGAGGCAGTTAACGCATCGGCTGAGCAAGGCGTATATATACGCCCGCGGCAGTTAAGGGGTTAAAAGTCCTTAATTTTCATGTAAGGAAATGTGTACGAACCCTGTAAAAGAGGTAACCATCATTGTTTTTATTCACCTGTGGTATCAACCAGCTATCCAGTATATCCAAGTAAATCTTCCGAATGGTGCATACATGTCTGCTGTAGCTGCAAATGTCTATATGCTGAGTGTCTGCAAAATATGCTAAACAACTTCCTGAGTTTAACTCTCTTTTAGTATTATAAAATTTAGAGTATTGATTTTATAATTTATTTCTTATTGAATTTTTAAAATATTTCTATAACTAAATAACCTGTTTCATGTATGTATGCACACACACAAGGTTTTTTTCATACACACACACATATATATATACATAAATGATATACAGTCAAAGTCTTTAATCTGGAATGATCTATAATCCGAACCTGAAAGCTACAAACTTTCTGCGCATGCGTAAAGGTATTATGCGCATGCAATATTTTCATGCGCATAATACCTTTACGCATGCACATAATACGTTTATGCATACGCGTTTAATGTATAACAGACGGTATAAGCTAGGCTAAAATTATCTAATTATTTATTGTTAATGTTGTAGATTGCCTTGCTTCTTCTAATTGGATCCGGCTTATTATTTTTTGCAGACTGTTAGAGCAATTTTATAAAAAGTAAGCTTGAACTTTCGATTATGTCAAAAAGAGTTTGCGATTCTGGAGCTGCCAAAGGATCTACAAAGCGAAAGCATGTTTCGATATCCATCAAACAAAAAGTGGAATTGCTGCAAAAGATGGATAAAGGCATGAAGAAAGTGACAGAGAGGTTGGTGAAAACGAAAAAATTTCGATTGACAAGTTAGTCGGTATTCTCGACACAGCAATTACAGGACTTGAACAGCGGAACTTTGTAACTGAACAAGAAAATTATGTCTGTTTATAGAATTAAAGAGAAAGTATTAGCACATAAAATGAAGCAACTTAAACAACACGCATTGAAAGAAATGTTTAATAAAGTAAACAAATAAATATTAAGCTTTTTTTTTTTTTTTTTTTTTTTTTTTTTTTTTTGTAAATTGTGATACCCTGTAGATCATAATTGCTCTTTATTTCATAAATTATGGTTTCATATTTTTAATTTTATAATTTCTGCATGCCATCTTACCAGATTTAAATTGATGATCTATAGTCTGGAAAAAACCCTAATCTGGAATCGCCGAAGTCCTGACGAATCCGCATTAAAGATTTGTACTGTACACATATATAAATGTCACAATTGGAATAGTTTTTTTTAAATGCACAAAATATTGTTTTCTTTTAATCATCAAAAAATTGAGTGATATATAATTTTCACATTAATTCTAAATTTAATTTTAATATTTTCAGGCAATAAATACGGTTGCTGAAATAATACGAGGCAATCATAGTAATCAAGAGTATTTTTCAACGGTATGTGCCCCTACGACACCTCCTCAGTAAGTTTTATTGGCATTTGCTTAGATACATATTATAATAACCTCAGTTCTATTTCAGTTATTGCAAGATCATAGTTTTAATTTTAGCAATTTTTTTTTTTTTTAGGCCTGCTATTGTAGTGTTACTAATGTGCATGATAAATGAGAAACAGCCTTTCAGCCTGCGATGCTCAGTACTCTATTGTTTCCAGTGTTTTTTGTATAGGAATGAATTGGGCCAAGCTCAAATCGTACAGACATTATTACCTTCAACAGCTGATAGTATGCAATTTACAATTTTATATATTAGCAGTACATTTGAAATAAAATAATTTAACAATTTATTTCAATTTATGTAATTACTTTAATATTGTATATAAAACAATACAAAATATTCAATTAATGTTAGTGTACCATGAGGGTGATTCTTTTTTTTGATCGAAAACTTTTGGATGCAGATGAGGATTAGATTTGTCTATTTAAAATCTATCAGAACCCACAAAGGCTGTCAGTTCATGAAAAGAGATGCTGTCATGGACTTTTAAAAGAAAACGGACTAAAGTTACGCATGGGAAAAAACCGTAAAAATTCCCATGTAGCTACCCATTCAATAGGTTAGAGCCTAGGTTGACATACTGGGGTTCATCAATATTACCACTTGGTCTTTGGTGTGGTGGGTTCAGCTGAGAAAAATTAATAATACAGGATATGTGACTTTTCATTTTAAAGCAGACTTCTCTTCTGTTTGAAATTCATATATATTATGCTGAAAATATCTGACATAAGAACATAAAATTCATCTCCTTCTTGTCTTCTTTCTCTTAATATACTTTCTTTGCATAAATTTCCAGTCACAAAATTAAGTTTTGCTTCTAAGTTATATTATGCATTGTGTAATCATTTAGGAAGCGATTTAAATAATTTTTTTTCTCAAGAGTTATGTCACTTTTTTTTTTAATTCTTAAAAAAGGGGTATTAAAGGGGAAAAGTGTAAGGTTTACAAATTAAAGGGAAATATATATATATATTTTCTATAACTATCTTGAATGGTAGCAGCATTAAATGGTATAGGTAAAAAAAATCTTAGTGTGCTGGATTAAGATACACCCATAAGAAACAGTCATTTTTGTAAAAACAAAACAGATCTTTTCATTATTGCATAATTAACCTTTTTTTTACTAAACCCTTTTCAGAAGCTATTCCTTCTCTTTGGCAAATAATCCTTATGTGCTTTTCCATACTCTCTATTATTAAAATAATGAAGAATCTGTCTCTATGTATGTTCCTTGTTTATGGAAAAACAGCAGCTATTGTAGTAGGAATTGTAGTTATACTATTGTAGTACGAAGAAAACAGCACGGCAGCGTCTTAGTTGCAGCAGAAGCAAAGTGTGCTGTGTTCAGGATGAAATCTTAATTCAGAGTGTGTTAATTAAGGTTTCAAAGCATTTGATTGGATAATTAATAATGCTGTAAAATTATTATTGGCTGTTTGGGTTTTAGTTCCATTTACATCACCAGCTTTATGTAAAAGTCATATGATATGGATTAATCTAGAAATGACTCGGTCTAGAAAAAGTTATGAGAAATTCCTATTTTTAGAATAGAGAGGGGATATGCCCAAATTAAAATTAAGAATTAAGGGGCTATTGCTAATTTAAGTTATAATTTTGATTTGCATGTTTTTATCTTACACATATATGTAAAAGATTGCCTCTGACACTCGAAATGAATCCTATATCATTATATCTTGAAATTTCTGGTTTTTATATAAAATTCTTATTAGTCTAAAATTTAATATTCCCACATATATGTTTAAAAGATTTCCCCTGATACTCAAAATAAGTCATCATTATATCTTGAAATTCTTTGTTTTCATGTGAAACTCTCTTCAGTCTAAAATTTAGTTTTACCTAATTTTAAATCCTTATTTGCATTAGAAACTAAAGATTATGCCATTTCTTTTATCTCATGTCTTCATGGTGTATTTTTCCGAATGAAAGTGGTTGTGAAATTATGTTTGATTTAATTTAAATATAATGAATGAATAGGAAATTAATATGGGTTAAAATTTACTAATTTTTAATTCATGGATATTTAAACTTGTAATCAGTGATGCAAGAAATCTTGTAACTTGTCTAAAATATAAGAATTTTCAGTTTGTATGCAGTTACATATTTATTTTCATTTGCTTAACTCACTATGAAAATGAAAGAAATTCATTAATTAGTTAATTCATCATATTAGTGCAACAATGAAATATAAAAACAGGCACGAAACCTTATCTTAAATATTTTTTGTAGATCTTAGTTCAAACAGGGCAGTTCATATCATAAGTGATTTTAATTTTTACATGTGACAGCTATTTCTGTTTTGCACAATAAGTTGAAAATCTCTTGCAAAATTTAAACTCAATATCTCAAATCACGTTATGTGGAAAAACAAAATTAAGTCCAAGCATTTTCAGCATTGATTCAAAGAAAAGTTTTGAACCCGTTTTGAAGTGTGTTCTTTGAAATTCTTGCGCTGCCTCAAATTTCTGATTGCCATGTTGGAGGAATAAGTTAACTCTATAATCTCCTCTTTTGCCTAGCAGTACTGGGTAATCATGATTAGTGTGAGGGTATTTCGATCTGTAATCCTCAGGTTTTATGTCAGTTGGCATAATTCTGTATGATGTGAAAGAGGTAAGACTTTCAAATTTGTCATAATGTTTTGGTTGGAGAGTTTGCTGTGATTTTTTTTAAACTCCAAATGATGAAACAGAGAACTATAATTTAAACAAGAATTAATAAATAAGTTGATTTAAATAAGAGCTTTAAGTTAAACAGAATTTAAGCTGAATAGTCTAATGCTTAGAACGCAGCTTTGAGACACATTCCCATCTTGTTTCAAAGCATCTGACAGCACAGACTCAGTCTTTATTTGAAAAGTCCAGTCCTTAAAAAATTATGAATAAAAACAGGCTGAATGAATGGATATCTATGAAAAGCTCCCCAAGCTTTCCTGTGTTGTCTTGGCATTTCTCAGCATTCATGATACTACAATGGTTTTGAGTATTTTGGTAGCTTTGTTGATGTTGTCAGTGTGGAGACTGTAACTAATATCAATATGCACATCTTGTACCATTTCGTCTGTGAGCTGCACAGAAGATGAGTTCCTAGTCAGCCATATCAAGTATAAAATGGGGAATCTTGACATGAGCTAGAACCCTTCTACTGTTAGAAATACAAATATAAGAGTATGATCGTCATTTGGAGGATCGTTCCCACCACTAAATGTATAAAAAGATAACTATTGCGTTGGCAACTAATTAATTGCAGATTTCACTCAAAGATGGCTTCAGTTGAATTTTGAGGGTTGCAGACGTAGTACAAATGTAAAACACATTTTGTTATTTGATAGTTGGCAATTCAGCTGTCAATCAGTAAAAAAAGTTTTTTGATCGGTTGCGTAGTTATCGTTTGGCGTTCGTTGAAAAATGGAAAATCAAAAGGAACATTTTCATCATATTTTGCTTTTTTATATCCGCAAAGGGAAAAACGCATTGCAAGCTCATAAAAAGTTATGTGCTGTTTATGGGCAAAGCCTTAAAAGAACGGCAGTGTCAAAATTGGTTTGCCAAATTTCGATCTGGTGATTTTTCACTCAAAGATTGAAAAACGCTCTGGTCCTCCAGTTGAAGTTGATGACGACCTAATCAAAGCAATAATCGATTTGGATTGTCCACAGTACAACACGTGAGATTGCAGAGAAGCTTCATGTATCACCATATATGCCATTGAAAATCACTTAAAACAACTTGGCTATGTTCAAAAACTCGAATACACGGGTTCCTCACGAAAATGAAAGGAAACGCATTTAACGCAACGCATTAACAGCTGCGATTTGCTAAAGAAACGTAATGAAAATGATCCATTTTTAAAACGACTGATAACTGTCGATGAAAAATGAGCTTGTTTACAACAATATCAAGCGGAAAAGATCGTGGAGCAGGCCAGGTGAACCAACTCAAACAACACATCAAAAGCTGATATTCATCAAAAGAAGGTTTTGTTATCAGTTTGTTGGGAATTACAAAGGAATTGTCTACTTTGATCTCTTACCACCCAACCGAACGATCAATTCTGATGTCTACATTGAACAACTAACGAAAATTAAACAATGCAGTTGAAGAAAAGCATGGCTCGAATTGACAAATCGAAAAGGTATTGTATTCCATATCATGACAATACAAGGTCGCACACATCTTTGGTCACTTAGGCAAAAAATTATTGGAGCTTGGTTGGGATGTTTTGCCACATCCACCATATAGTCCTTACCTTGTACCATCTGATTACTTTTTGGTTTGATCTTTACAAAACTCCTTGAATGGTAAAAATTTCAATAATGATGATGATGTCAGATCGTACCTGATTCAGTTTTTTGCTAATAAAAACCAGAAGTTTTATGAACGTGGGATTATGATGCTGCCTGAAAGATGGCAAAAGGTCATTGATCAAAATGGGCAATATATTACAGAATAAAGTTATTTAGTTCCATGAAAAAATTGTCTTTGATTTTCAACCCAATAAGATAGTGAACAGAAACATCCTTGTAGGCTAATGGAAGTAAGAATGCTAACCATTATTGAGGACACATAGGCAATGATCTTCAAACTGCTCAATTTGTGACTTGATAATTTTGCCCTTAGTCCCTTAGAGCGGAACTATGGCCATTAAAATCTCCTTTTATATGATGAAAGATTCAGAAGATTCTGCATTAGATAATCTAAATTTCATTGATCAGTGTGGTGATTTGAAGTGAAATAAAGGGAACGCTGAAACTAAAGCCCATGTACTTATTTATATAGCAAGACCTTGGAGCCTTGTTGTTAAAGAAATTAAATTGGTAAGATGGTCATTTGAGGTGAGAAAACACTTCCACAGACTGGCTCACATACCAAATTATCTTTCCTGGTGAAAGGAGTACTTCTGAAGCTTACCGTATAGTTCAGGTTTTAGCATAGTCTCCTGTACTCCCCAAGTACACTGTGCACCAATGGTATTTTATGTCAAAAAGATTTTTGGGAAAGCTGTGAGAGTTCTGTGAAATGATGGTGAACATTAACATGTTGACAGCAGCGTGGATATTCATTGTTCTTTTCATGCCGCAGCGCTCGAATTAGCGTTCCATTTTGTGAATATCCCTAGTGAAGCAATAGTAACAAAAAAAGGATAAACATTCTTTAAATTCATACGAAGGATACGCAGTGAAGACGAGAAAGCGATGCAAAGAATGCTATAAACGCTTAGCAATCCTAAAAGATACTCAGTACGCCAGGAATAGAACAAAGAAAGTAACAATATGTTGCGATAATTGTAAGGGCAAGCCAGCACTTTGTTTAGCCTGCTTTAAAAAACTGCATAGAGAAAATTAATAATTATATTTAAATTATAAGTTACCTTTTAAGTTATTTGTTTTGTATTGAATGTTTGATTATAATGTTGATGTATACTGTTGAATAATTAAAATAAAATTTTGTACTATGTATTATTTGATATACAAGCATGATCCATCGGTGAGTCATGCCGGCCTGCTGAACAATCAAGCATGACCCACCGGTGAGTCTGTCACTCCATGGAACAGACAAGTATGACCCACCAGTGGGTCAGGCCTGCGTCAGTGTGTTAAAAAATGGTGTTCTGCACTTGATATGAGTGGGAGAATTTCCAGTTCCACTGCAGCATTGTCAGAATCTTAAATGTTCTGAATTCATACTTTCCTCAAAGTGTGCTTCTAGATTATTTTGCATTTTTTGTATTTTGGTTTCACATTTTCTGACTGACCTTCTTTCATTTGTTTATTGTTTGATATTTTTTCACAATTTTCACTGTCATGGACAATTAAAGAACAGCAAGTACATGTAAGGCTGTCATGACAGGATATTTTAGCATGACTAAACACTGGCACTGCTAGCATCATGTTGGGTTTGGAGTATAAGGTGTTACAGGACAATTTAGATGTCCAGTTTTATGCTTTTCAGCAGAACAGGCAAGTTGAAAGTCAGGATGAAAATATTGTTGCGTGTGTTATTATTGTTGGTCACGTTATTATTGTTGAATGCACAAGTCCAATAAAAATTTATTTTTATCAAAAGAAATATTTCAGAACTTGGGAATTTTTCACGGGAATATTTGTACAAGTGTTTACGGTATCACACAGTATAATCAGTAGTTACACTTCAAACTCTACTACGAACGTTATGCACAATATAATGCAAAGAGCATCTAAAGAGAAAGCTAATCTGATCTCAGGCTGAACTCACAACAGTAACGACAGCAGCTAACTAAACAACTGAGAGCAAATGCTCTCTCTTCAGCCTTAAATAGTTTTCAACTGGCCGCGAAATATTTCTAGTACTTTCTGCTTCTCGAAATTATTGGAAAGCAGTATGAGAGTGAAATTATGGTTACAGCAAACGTAGTGGTCAATTACATTTATTCAATTTCAGTAGAAATTATGGAGATACCCATTTACCCAGTGTTAAATGCACGTGCCCCTTATTCTTGCTTTACCAGTATAGCTTTCTTTTAAGTTTGTCTTGTGCTGCATTACACAGAAAATTTCTACAATTTTAATTATAATTTTACTAAAATTACCTATGTAAATACGAAATTCATAACATTGCTCCCTTCCCAAGGACTGAACATCTCGGGCAGTACAATCCCTGCACAGGAAGCCGTACTTACAACTGAAGCATCAATGCAGTAATAAACATTACAATACAATAACAAACAACATAAACAATAGTTGCAAAAGGTAACTTAAAACAAATCAAATACTAAATCAATAAATGAGTGTACAAATTTTACAAATAGGCAATGATCTTACACTATTTACATTATATACACTACATACTATGTCCATAGTCAGAAACCAGCCTGTCATAATGAACAACTTTAGGCTTAGATTTTGATGACATACGGATCTAAACTACACCATCATGCAGCCTGTGTATAACTGTGTAAGAACTATTGTAGTCTAGGAGAGAATCCTTTCCATCGAATTGGATTCCACAACCACACCTGGTCTACTTCGTTGAATAGATATCCTATAGCTCTCATGTCTTATTGTGTCTTCGTCATCTCCATCGCTAAGTTGACTCACTCTCATGCAAAATTGTGCATCACTTCAGACCAGGCCTGGAGATTTTGGATGTACTTCTCAGGCAATGAAGACGCATCCAAAGGGCAAACCAAACAAGAGATTACGAAGCAGATGAAGGTTACGACCAAAGAGCATTTGAGATGGGGAATAGCCGGTCTTGAGGACAGCAGTGCGGTAAACCAGTAAGAATAGAGGTAACTTCTTGTCCCAGTCCTGTTGTTTTCTGGAAACTACCAATGAGAGGTTATTAAGGATGGTTCGATTAAACTGTCTACCATGCCGTCTGACTGAGAATGTAAAGGTGTTGTCTGTGTTTTGTCTTTGCCGAGTAGCTTGCAGACTTTTTTAATTACAGCCGAAGTAAAATTTCTCCCTTGATCAGAATGTAACTGAAGAGGCACTCTGAACCTGGAAATCCAATGCTGCACTATACCATTACCTCTGTTACCATGATCGTTTCTTGATCAGGAATAGGACATACTTCAGGCCACTTCGTGAAGTAATCAATGACAATGAGGATGTATTTGTTGCGATCAGTAGTTCATGGCAGAGGTCCCAATATATCAAAGGAGATATGTTCAAAAGCCACTCCTACATTGTAACGTTGTAGCTTTCCTCAGTTGTGTTTCTTCGATCCTTTCCAACCCGCACAGGCACTGCAAGATTGGCACCACTTTTGCGCATCATCCTTTGCATTACTCCAGTAGAAACATTCTTGCTCTCTCTGCAAAGTCTTCATTATTCCAAAGTGGCCTCCCGTAGGGTTGCTATGTAATTCTTTAAGGATGTTGTGGATCTTGGGAGTATCAGCTACCATCAGAAAGCCTATCCATCATCCGATTTGAATTTCCAGCATAAGACACCGTTTCAAAAATGGAGTGAGTCTCAGAGAGCCCAATTTTGTTTTGTCATAGAACTATAGATCGAAGTTCCCTGCCAGGTAGTAGGTTTTTCTGTTTGATAACTCCATTAAGTCAATTAGTGATTAAATGTTGCTGTTTTCCAAGCTGGTCTTTAATGACTTCGTAATCACTCTACGGGTCTGGATCAGCTGATGCTGAAGTTGTGACTTGTCGTACAACTGGATTAAACAGCTTGTATTCCGCTTCAACTCTGGAACAATATTGGCAGCTTTCTGGGCAGGGTGTTCCAGACATGACGTTGGCATTACCATGTGATGATCCCTTCTGATGATGGATAGTGATGTCATATTCCTGGAGTCTCTGTATCCACCTGGCTTTTGGCCTTCAGGATTCTTGAAATTTAAAAGCCAGGTCAACAATGTATGATCCGTGCGGAGCAGGAATTTTCTGCTGTAGAGATAATTATGAAATGTTCTACGGCTTTAACTATGACGGGTAGTCTTTCCTGGTGACACAGTAATTCCTCTTCGATTTAGACAGGCACTTGCCATAGTAGGCCATGACATGTTCTTGGCCGTTTATTTCTTGGGACAAAACAGCACTGCCTTATTTCTCGCATCCATTTCGAGAATAAATGATCTGTTGAGCTGAGGATATGTCAGGATTGGAGCAGATGTTAAAGCTTCCTTCAGGTTGTTAAATGCATCCTCACATTCTTTTGTCCACAAAAACTTCTGATTGCTCTCTGTTAGCTTGTGAAGGGGGTCTTGCGATGGAAGAAAAGTCCTTCATGAAATCTAGTAAGTGCAAAGCCCTAGAAAGCTTCTCCAGCTGATGGACATTTTCAGGGCCTCTACGGTGTTTAACTGTTGGCACTCTTTCAGGATACGTACACACAACTTCAGCAGAAATGACATGTTCGAGGTAAGTCACTTCTTGTCTGAATAATTTTTATTTGGCGGGACTTAACCCTTTCAGTCCTAATGGGCGTATACATCCCAGAGATAAGATTTCATTCCTTATTGGGTAAATAAATCTCATTTTTAAATGGTTTTTAAAGAATTGGGGAACAAATATATGACTAAAGAAACCTGGCAACATTTTTAGATTGCAGATGGCGCACGTATGTTTTTAAGCATGCCGATTGCTCAAAACTATTTTAAATTTGTCTATTTTTTAATTTTACAGTAAGTACAATTACATTTAAGGCATACTTAATATGAAATAGTTCTTATTGTTCTTACTAATTAACGGGTTCTTGACCAACTTTCGTCTTTTCTTGAAACATAGGAAAGTCTGCCACCAACTGCCTTAATTGTTCCTCCATTGCTCTTGCCACTGGCATTCAACCCCAACCCTGACACCAAAAAGAGTTGCAGGTATACAAGTTCATAATAGATTGAATGCATAAGTCAAAAAAAAAAAATTCAGAACTCTGGAATTTTCCACAGAAATATTCATACAAGTGTTCGCAAAAAATATTGCAGAAGACAAAGTGTTTGTTGGAGTAGAAATTTCAAATACAAAATCATCAGTAATTGTTCCATAAATCATTTTCAAGATATTTTTATTTGCAGTAGTAGTATTTTTATTTGCTTTTATTGCCCTGTATTGATCTTTTTCATATAAATACTTTAAAATATATTTTAATGCTTAAAGTAATATCCAAAAATCTCTTTTGCTTATTTAAATAGTTTTCTGATTTGTTCCAGAAAAGGTCTATTCTTACAACTCTAGATAATAGGCATTTTGTCATAATCAGAACTTTGACCTCTTTATGAATTTGACTGTATATTGTTTTTGTGATTTTTGTTTTAATTGGTTGAGTAGAGACTGAAAATTTTGTTCTTTTTTTAGTAAGTACATTTACTGTTGGCCAGTTACTGTGTAGTGGCTTATTCAGCACAGATACTTTGTCCAATTGGTTTGCAACAGTTGCCTTATCCCACACACTTGTGGATAATCCTACACAGAAAGAACAGCTTTTGCGAGTACAGTTGGCAACCAGCATGGGAAATCCTGCCATTTCACTCATTAATCAGTGTTCTGTTATGTTACAGCAGGTAAAAAGTGCTTTTCTAGGGTCATTTTTGTATGCAGTGCGATTTGAAATTGATAAACTGAATGAACTGTTTGAAATTAATAATTGTATGTAACAAAAAAATTTAGATTTTCTCTTCGCCGCATAAACATATATATATATATGAAGAAATAGAGAGAGATTTTATTTTTTTCATTTATTATGTGTTATTTCAGCAAATCATGCGGTTAAAAAAGTAAAATAATTTGTTTTTCAGAAACCAAAATGTAGAATTTTTACTTGCTGAACACAAAATGCATTTCTGTCTTAACTAAAATAAGATGATGAAATATGTTTTTATTTGTGTATACTCTAAAATTAAACCCATAATCTTATTTTTACTTTTACTGAACTAAAATTACAAAAACAAATTGTAGCCTCTTATGCATTAGTATAATTATTTTTTTTTAATCGACAAATTTTTAGAATGCACCAGTTTTAACAAGCAGCATCATTTCTATATGCATTCCTTTTATTTTATTCAAAGTATCAGGGTATTTATAACAAATTGGGATGTTTTTGTCCTGATCTCAATTTTAAAGTATGCAGTTATGCTTGCAGTAGAAGAAACTGCAGTAAAATTTCTGCAGGAGAAGACTTTATGTTATAAAACCATTAAAAGAACAATTTTTTAAAACTATTTTTAAAGTGATTGCTCTGAAATTTCCTCCAGAGCAAAAGAAACCGAACCCCTAATAAGTTAGCCTAATGATAATTTTAAGATAAACATCTAATTAAACTGTAAAATATATATGTATGTAATGTATAATTTTTTTTGGTAATTATAAGTCGTCATTTTACTTCTGTAAAAATTCGTCAAAGTGCATTGTAATGGCTACTTTAATACAAAAGTGTCAAAATTGTTTTCTGTTTGCATAAAACAAAAGACAAAGACATATCAAATTTCTATAATTTTGTAAACTTGAATGTCAGTTTACATTTTGTGCATATGGATTTGGGTTATTTTAAGAATTTCTGAAAAATTGTAAGTGCATTTAATAAGCAGTGTTGTCGTTTGTTTTCTCTGTTCTATAACTGTAAATTAACATCCCTAAAAATATTAAAAACACATTATATTAAACTTCTTGGAAATTTATTACTTTGCCTAGGAAAAGAAGTGAACTTGTATTGTGCGAGTCCCATTTTATATATATACTGTTCTTGTCGTCATAATGAACTGACTTTGATATGTCCAAAAACTATTAGTGATGATTTAAAATTAATGGGAGTAATTTTTAATTTTTTGGCTGCCTTCAGATTCAAATGTTATAGAAATTGCTAGTATTTATCAAACTGAATGAAAAAGCATGATTTAATGCTAATGTTTTTGCAGAGACTATTTTTAAATATGTACTATTAATTTTTAGTATAAGTCAAATTGTTCTGTTGGGCAAGCATCAGGAAATAGTCTGTAGTTATTATTATTCTGCATGTTCTATAAAGAAAGAGTAAAAATTTTGTGAGAACTTAAGTCCTTTTTATACATTGAGCATTGTATTGATTCTTGCTGGTCACAGTGATTCTTACTTTATTGAGACAAGCTTTAGCAAAATACAAAAATATAGTACAGAAATTATGATAATTTTAAAATTTTAATTGAATTTTTAAATGGATTGATCATAATTCCAAGGCAAGTCCTTAATGCAGATGACATTGGTAGCTGTCTAGAATGTCAGCTAAACTCTCCTCATGTATTGAGTTATTATTAATACATTTAATGAATATGGGGCATCGACTGTACTGATCTCCATAGGCATCGAAAATTTTAGAGCTGTGGCTGCATAATTCAATAAGACAAAAACAGGGTATGATGAATTTTATCCAGAGAATGTCATTAAAAAAAGTTTATTTTATTGAAAAAAATATTGTGTTTAAAATAAACCTTCTCAGGTGAAGTATAAAAATTTTCATGTGGATGTAAATAAAGACTCCATATTTTCATGCCATAATGTGTATAATTTTTAAACACATATATACTTTACAGAACAAATTTTAATCTCACTCTGCCTGTCAGCAGCCGAAGTTTTGTGTTAATGTGCCACATTTATTTTACTACTACAAAATTTATATTGTTTAGGGCATTAAAATTATTTTTAAAGGCCCTCAACGAATATGCACTTATGTCTAGGGCAGAGGTGCCACTAAGATCAAGGTCAGGGGAAAAGTCAGGGGAGTTTAAAAGTACTGATTTATCCTAGCTTCATTTATTTATTTATTTACGAGGCGTATTCGGAAACTAAGTACCGTTTTGAAAATAAAATAGTAAAACAATTTTGTCGAATCCAGTTTTATTTTTACATGAAAATACATGTCTTAAACTATTTTTCAACATAGTTTCCGCCAATGATCAAACACTTGTCATAGCGGGTGACCAGTTTTTGTATACCATCGTCAAAGAAACTTCCCGCCAGTTTCAATAACCCCGACTCCACAGCATTTTTCATGTCATTGTCAGATCCAAAGCGCTTGCGACCAAGCTCGCGCTCCATGTGCCGGAACAAGTGATAGTCGGACGGCACCAAGTCTGGGCTATACGGCGGGTGATCGAACTGCTCCCAATGAAACTGTCGAATTAACGATTGAGTGACACCAGCAGTATGGGGCCGAGCATTGTCATGGAGCAACACAATTCCTTTACTGAGCATTCCTCTTCGTTTGTTTTGAATGGCACACCTTAGTTTTGTTTAAGTCTCACAATATCGAGCCGCATTAATGGTTTCACCTCTGGGAAGAAATTCAGTAAGCAAAACGCCTTTCCTATCCCAGAAGACAGTGCACATGATTTTTTGTGATGACATTGTCACTTTGAACTTTTGTTTTTTCGAAGAATGAGTGTGTTTCCACTCCATTGATTGTTGTTTCGATTCTGGTGTGAAATGACACACCCAAGTTTCATAACCTGTCACAATTTGGTTTAAAAAGTTTTCTCCCTCATCACTGTACCGCATGAGAAATGTCAGGGCACTACCAAGTCGCTTTGTTTTGTGAACATCAGTGAGCATTTTTGGAACCCATCAGGAACACGGCTTGCGATAATTCGAGCGGTCAGACACAATTTCGAACAAAACAGTACGTGAAATTTGTGGAAATGCCTCTGAAAGAGTTGTCATTGTGAAGCGTCTGTTCTCATGAATTGCTTCATCAACTTTCCTTACCAAATCATCGGTGACAACAGAAGGCCGACCACTCCGAGCCTCGGCGTGGACATTTGTTCGACCTGCATTAAACACTCTTACCCACTTTCTCACCATTCCATCACTTATCGCGTATTCACCGTAAACTTCTGTCACTTGACGATAAATTTCGGCTGGTTTAACATTCCTCGCGTTCAAAAATTTAATCACGGCACGAATCTCGCAGTCAGCAGGAGAACTAATTGTCTTAAACATTTTGAATGTGTGCAGCAAACTGAAAACACAACATAGAGCAACCAAAATGGCAATAATTGAAAGTCAGTAAACAAGAAAGACTAGTGCGCATGCGCGGGACGCCTACCACAGCGCTGCGACGGCGCTAGAATGAAATGGTACTTACTTTCCGAATACGCTACGTATTTGTATTTCCTTTTCAGAAAGTGTGTTACCCAGTACAAAATACACTTTTTATCTATCTATGACTCTTTTCTCCACTTAGTAGTGAGCTGTAGTTCATCCTTTTCTTTAAAAATGCAATCATTCTGCCGCTTTTTTCCTTACAAATATAATTGTCCATCAAAAGTAAATAGTGTGATTTAGAAGTCATTACTGTAGGTGGCTATGTATTATAATGAAGAGTTATATTAAATAAGCATATTTTTCAGTGTGATGCGTTTATGCCCTCAGTTCTATTTTCGAATATTATTGGAATAACATTTATTGTGAATGGTATACTATCTGAAATTTCTTTTGCAGAATAATGTTTTTTCCAGAATTTGATAATTTTTTAAATGGTTTAAATATTTGTGTCTTACATATACAGTAGAATATCAATATTTCGGGAATTCATGTAACCTGCAGTCAACTTTGAATGTAAGCAAATAAAATGTTGTTTCTAAGAAAATTCAGCGTGTCAAATTTAAGAGGAATTTTTCTTATGTGCAAGAAAACAAAATTTTTAACAAAAGTACTTTATTTATAAGATATTTGGATTTAAAAATATGAATTAATTTTGTTATTGAACTTATTTAACATTATCTGAATCATCACTTTCTTTGTACAATAAATGCATATACCATGCATCTGGGCAAATTTTTGCTTTAGAAGAATTTCTACATTTTTTTTATGAATATTTCACTATCCTTTTGTATAGTTTTGTATTTATTTGGTTAATTGGTTTTGAAATTCGTATTCATATATCAAGAGTTTATTTGCCTACAACTTTTGAGATGTTGCATTCAAACTTAACGTTATTGGTTGGTTGTTTACATTCCATGCAACGTGCATTTGTGATTACGTTGGCAATATATAAGGTGAGACTTAATTTTTTTTTTTAAATTCTCTAATATTAAAAATGGAAAACTTGATGAAGAAAATGTAGCTGAAGAACAGAGAATTTTTTTTAATAAATCCAAAGCTTCAATTCTACCAGATCCTGTTTATTTTAATGGAGTGTGCAGGGAAACGGCAGAATTATTGTAGAGATTGAACTGAAAGAATACATTACTGCTAGAGTTTTTATAAAAAAATGTATTAATGAATTTATTTTTCTCTCATTTAAGAATATAAATATTCATTTGAAAGTAATTTCGTTAGTGGATATATATTTTTAGCATTAAAATTCTTTCAATGTGTTTTGCAACAATAAGTTCTTCTTTCCTCAACAGTTTTCCCTATTTTCTCTCTCCAATGTAATTTTCCTTTGCATTTACAATTTCTTCATTTGTAATTATTTAAAAAAAATAAAACTGTTTTGTTTTCAATAAACCGTGATCAATTAATTCTGAAGGTATGGATGTCTTTGAATTAATTATTTATGTGCATAAACAATCCAAATGTAATGTAAAATTTAGAAAGGGAGAAACATAAGCAAAACCGAGAAATGCAGATCTATAATCCAGTCTACTAATCTTCATCTATTATCCAGTCTCCTACAATATAAGCCTATTAATCTGCACAATGTTGGTTCCAAGTTGTACAAAATATCAAAGTTCGATTTTTGTTTCATTTGCTTCTAAATAATGAACAAATTTTGATTTCACCCTCATGAAAAGTCACCAACTCCTAGGCGACTTTTTGAATTGAAGAAAAATGCTTGTTAAATTTTCTTTATGGCTGTGGGAGATATTCACAATTCTTCACAAAATTTCATTTATGTATTCTCAATAATAAATAAAGTGAATTAATTGTGTTGTAAAGGAGATAATATGGCTGTATTCAAACCATTTCCAACCTTTAATCTAAGATTTTGCTTGCAGTTTTTCCATTTCCACACAATTTGGTCATTTAGAAAGTATGCACAATAGATGTCATTGCAATGGAATACTTCAGTTTTATCATTTTAATTTAGCATTTCTTCACATATTTTGTTAATTTTATGATATCTGAAATTTTTAAAATTTGTGGCTATCCTCGTCATCTTGAAATATGATGGTTATAAACAATCCCAGAATTTTTGAAGTTCTAGACAATCAGTGTGATTGGGCCCTGTGTCAATGAAATATATTCATATTTCAAAGCAAAATCTTCCTTCATTTAACTGTCACTGAGAACAACTTAATTGGTGCCTTTCAAAAATTGGCTTCTTGGGCTTATGTTACCTATGCTAAGCAAGCATTTTTAAAGATATCTGTAGAATTGCTTGCATTGCTCATCACAGCATATTTCATATTAAAATATTTCAAAAGTTTTAGTATGATATTACTGTCACATTGATTTTAAAAGGGTTATTTTATATCTGCATTTCAGTGCCTGCAAAATTCTGATATCTATTAGCTGATTGATGGGTATAAATTTTCAAGAGAAGTGTGAAATGAAGATGTTATTGATTACTAAAATTTTAATTCTAATAAATATAATAAGAGACTGAATGAAATAATAAGCTGAATAAAATCAGTTTATGAAAATGCCCAATATGTGGTGTTACCTGAACGCAAGTTAATCGAAACCTAATTCTTTCTCCTTTTCCTCTGCTATGCCAACAAAAGAAATTCAATGTGTGCAACATTTTAAATAAACATTATCTTTGAAATTGCACTTGTTTTGGTCAGGCTTAAATAAGGTAGAAATATGCTGCTACTATGTCCGCTCAAAATTAGAAAATGAAAATATAATTTGCTAGCTGGGAGCCAGAACAACCATATAAAGTCAAAACAACATGCAAAATGATTCAATATCATTGTGGATAATGATGTTTCTTTTTTAAAATTTAAGAATCTAATCTTAAATTTTACATAATTCTTAAATTTTCAATTATAGTACTGAATTTATAGAATTAATACTTAAATCTTTGTACATCTTTGTCTTTATAAACATATATGCAAGGGATCTTAATAAAATTGTGATCAAAATATTAAAAACATACTTTTGTGTGTCTAGTGTACACTTTGCAATTTTTTTAACTGGACTTTAAAAATATAAATGAGAGCAAAAATTTTTCATTCCAGAATATATAGTATCTTTCAGTTTTCTTCAAAATTTTCATTTTGTTTTGGTTGGTTTATTTAATTATCGCAAAGCACTTGAGAGCTATCTGCCTAAGTGAAAAGATGTCTTTGTGCAGGACTTTCTAAGAAAAGCTTGCTCATATACATGTTACACATAGGAAAAACCATGAAAGCATGCACACCGAGATTTGAACATTGGACTTACCATTGTTCATCAACTTTACCTCTCGGCTGCTGTGGGTCTTTTCATTTTGTATCATGAATAATGATTGTAATATGTAAAAATGTTTTGGATTTCTTTGCTTGTAAGTGTACCTTGTATTTTCAGTGCAATGAGTTAATTTTTATTATCAGTCTTGAATTACTTTACAGGGTGCTAAATTACAGACTAGGTTAGGCCTTCTGATGTTAATGAGTACTTGGCTTGCCAATTGCACAATAGCTGTGATGCGTTTCCTAAGCATACCAACAAATATTCCATTTGTATCCTTTCATAGAAATGATTATGTGAACTGTTTAATATTTTAAATAGATGTTCTTTCTCTATGCTAGCATATGATAGGTATGTGTAGTATTTAATATCCTCTGCAGTAATTAAACTTTTATTATTATGATAGTTAATATGTTTTAAGAAATATTCACTGATTCTGAATTACAAGAATTAACATTATATTAACAAATGTACCTTATTTTATTATAAATTTCTGGTGATCAAATGGATGAGAAGTACGCCAGTGTGAAATTTTAAGGCCAAACAGTTAACTTTTATTTTTAAGAGAACTTATTATAACTAAGCAATGACTTGCAGAGGTAGCAAAGAAGTAATATGGAGATATATCTCATATAATATAGTATTATTAAACTGTTGCTTTATTGAATGTGATAGGCTAATCTACACATCATACTTATTCTTTTAAGTTAATTTAATATATATCACAGTTATTATTTTTCTACATTATTTAAGTCAGTGAAACTATTAACACTCTGACTGGGCAGGGTTTTCATTAAGAAAGCACAAATTTCCCAGAACTATTATGAGAAAACATCATTTTCTTGATGTTAATGTAAAAATTTTTCTGATATTTTATACTTGGATTTGTGTACTTTTAATATATTGGCTTAATTTCTTTGACATGTTTTAATATGCACGTATATATACATTCTTATAGATATCACAAAAAATATTCCAGGCCATATATATATATACGGCCTTGCCAGTTAGAGTGTTAAAAGTGTGTCATTAAATTAATAATTGGTTTCATTTTAGGTGGCTTAGGAGGTAAAAGTGATCTGCAGCCAATAATTGGAGTTTTGTTGTATTGAAAATTAATTTCATTTTTGACTTATTATTTTCGAATTATATCATCTTTAACCCTTTTGACTCAACTTTTGCATGATTAAAATTTAATTATGAAAAGTACTTTAATTTAATGTTGACATACTAAAAGAAGTGTAATATGAGTTTAAAGTTTTTAACTTTCCCCATTTCCTGGAAATCTCCTGGGACAATATGTCTGAATCGTATTGTTCGACTGGGACTATTTGTCCCAATCATCTAGGATTAATCCCTTTCTCAGAAGACAAAACAAAAATTTGTGCTATTATATAATGTGAATATTACAAAATGTAAACTCTGCCACATGCACCAGTTCATGTACAACAAAAATTTTCATATATTTTTCACAAACATAAACATAATATATCAACATGTAGTAATTTGATGACTGATGGGTCATATTAACCCACTGTTCAATACAATTGAGACAGTATATCCCACAAAAAGAATGTATTCAAAATTTCTTAAATCTGACATTAAAAGAGTTAGATTACTACTTAATAAGAACTATTTCATACTAAGTATAATTATATTTACTGTGAAATTAAAAAATAAATAAATAAACAAATCCAAACTTAAGTAATCGGTCTGCTCAAAATCATAAGTGCAGCATTTGCAATTTAAAAGTTTTGCCAGGTTTCTTTAATCATATATTTGTTCCCTAATTCCTTAAAAACACTGCAAACGTAAAAGCTCTATTTAAAAGGGGGCTGTTTACCCAGGTAGGCCCCAAAATATAATCTCTGGGACTCGTGTGCCTATTAGGACCGAAAAGCAGGAGATGTGAAAAGTGAACAGTGCCCTCGCTGGGATTCGAACCACGGACCTCTCGAATACACGTCGAGTGTGCTAACCATTACACTAAGAATATTTCTATGTAGTAATGCGATTAAGAGGCAGTCGACCTAGTGCAGCCTTTACCAATATATTATAAATAGGGTATCTTTAATGATGAGTTGAATCCAGTAAGATGGAACATACTTTTTGAACCTAGTGCAGAGTCTCTAGAAGCGAAGTAAACGTGGCACCATCTTTTGGCAAAAATTGTAGTAGAAAAGAAGAACCACTTTTGGTTTTAGACCAAAAATGGAGTGTGGGCGGGGCTGAGGCCCGAACCCGCAATGTGAGGATCTGCAGCTTGAGAACTTCTGCCGCTCGGCTATGCTTGTCTTGAAAGGAATTTGCTTATTAATCTTGATCTGCAAAATTCAAAATAATCTCGATGGCTTGAAAACCTAGACAAAGTTTCTGTATATTAAATGTAGCTGATTTAATTCTCTGAGCTATTGTAGTTATTGATTTCATAAGGTAAAGGGTTTTCTGATCTTTGAAAATGTTAATGATTTCTGCTAAATTTTCCTATGGGTTTTTCTGCTTAATTTTGCCACTGTAAAGTTTTTTAGGTATTTCTTGATTAGTTTGGACTGAAGCTTGAATGAATTCGGGGATGTCATCTTTAGTGGAAATTTCTTATGGTTTTTCTATCTTCTCTAAATGATTGAATCTTTTTCTATATATCTTACAACCACGATAAAAAGAAACGTGATTTTCGTGACAGTAAATGCATGTTGGTTTTTCACTGTTTTTAATTTACAGGTATTGGATCTGTAATTTTTTTCGCACTTACAGCATCTGACCTTTTAAAAGCAGTTATTTTGGGAGTGTCTGAACTCCTGGCAATTGAAACATTGAATTGGGCGTTTTCTGGGCTGATATTTTTCTATTGTGATAGGAATCCAAACATATTTTTTAATTAATGCATTTCTCTCCTGTAGAGTTTCTTTTTAGTTTAAGGGAAAATATAGGTAAACGGATAATTTGGTCTTCTGTTTTCTTCGTGAATTGCTTTACTTCAATTGTGGGGAAGCTTCTGCATTCTAAAACTGCGTGAATTGCTTGCTCGGTGTAGGATCTTCTTAAGTATAACTTTAATTGAAGAGGCTGAGGAAATTTGGTATGTATGAAAATTAATCTGTGCTTTTTGGAATTCATCAACTGTAGTTTTATAATCGACTTCATTGGTAGTGTAAAAGAAAATCTGTTTGGCTTTGATTGTAACTTCAAATTTGTTTTTACATATTTCTCAGAGCATTTTATCTATTTCAGGCCAATCAACATCGTTTTCCGGAATGACTAATGGAGGAATTTTTGTTTTATTTTCTGGGTTATTCTTTGTTATAGTCGTCTGCGTTTCATCTGTAACTTTCATAGCTTCATTAAGAGTTTCAAATCTGTTATTTTGTGGAATATCTGGTGGTGAAGTAGACTGTATTTTTTTTTTTTTTTTTTTTTTTTTTTTTTTTTTTTTTGAGTTTGCCAATTGTTCTGATTTATTGTTTTATCATCTGTTTCAGAATTTGGGAGCTCCGGGGTGTTCTGAATGCTTGCTAAAATTAACTGATTTTGTTGAAATTCTTCTTGTAACTGTGAACTTTTTTCTATCGCTAGTGGGGAGGTAAATGTCTTCGTAGACTCAATACAGTTTAATTTATTGGTGATTTCGTTTTCTAATTTGAGTGTGAAATCTTTTGGGTTAATTGGAAGTTGAGTATTAAGATATTCTTCCAAGATAGCTTATGTTAAATTAGGAAAAACTTTTCTGTGTTTGTTAACTACTGCTGTAAAATTTGAAGGGGAGGGTTTGAATTTCTTAGTATTATCAGCTATTTTCTTAGGACTTCCTGCAGTTTTCTTTTCTCTGGGATTTACTTTTCTTAGTAGAAATTAGAGTAGCAATTATACTTTGAAGCAACAGGTCATCTTAAGCAATTACAGGTATATCCTTGGATGTAGTCGATTTTCCTGAATAATTCAAATAAGTAGAATCATTATCACCATCATAATCGCTGAAAGTAGCATGCCAAGGAATTTTTCCCCTATCAGGTGGTTCTTTATTACTGGCCATATCAAGGAGAACAAGCAAAAATTATATTTACCAAAAATTAAGTCTAAGAGCAGTCTGAGACTCGCATGTCGCAAGAGCATTACTCTTAAGAAGGCGGGAGAAATACCTTATATACTCCTCCTTTTAAAGAGTGACTGGGGATTAGGGTACCCAATCGCCAAATCCTGGTGGTGGAGAATCGGCTAATAAATAATTAAGTGAAACATTTAACTATTTGAGTTGTCTCAGATTGATCTTAAAACTATTTAATTTAAATAACAGAAGCAAAATGAGTTTGTTAGTCTGCATTTCTCATTTTTTCAGTAATCATTGTGATAGAAGTTCTATATTTATCAGGACTTGTAATCTTTTTCCATATGTATTGTATCTTTTGCATTTCAACTGTACCTTTTCTAAGGAGTTGTGAGAAGTTTCTTAATTCATTGAAGCTTACCTCTCAAGTGAATTTAGCAGAAGGTGATGAGCATGAAGATCTTGTTCAAGGGATATGTGCTTTTCTTCTGGGTATTTGCATAGAATTTAACGATAATTCTCAACCTGGCTTTACAAAGTAAGCTTTTGTATTTTTTAAACACCTTCAATTTTATACAGACTACTTATAAAGAGTGAATGTTCTAATTCGAATTGTAATTAGTGATGTAACTATTTTTTAATTTTATTCAGAGATGACTTGTGCCAATTAATTGTAAAGCGTATTGGTTTAGAGACATTTCTGGACAAGCTTGTAGCTGTTACAAAGAATGAAAGCTACAGCCGAGCTGCCCAAAACCCTCATCTTAAATTTAAACAACCATCTGAAGTGTTATTTGACTATGAATTTTGTCGTCTGTTTAAGTCTTTAGAAGGTAAGTCTTATTTATTTATTTATTATTCTGAAGAAATTGGTGGTCTTCTGATAGTTTAATAATATTAAGGATTAAATATGGAGTATAAAATAAGATTTGTTGAATAACTAAGATTTATTGTAAAAGTTAACATATAAATACGTTGAAGAATCAAAATGCATATAAATTTAAAATAAGTAAAATATTTCAGGTTCACACACTAAAAACCACATTTAAACATTAGTAAATTGAGAGTTTTTGCAAATTGGACATCTGCATCATCAACTAGAATCAGAATCAATAGTTTGATCATATTCTCCTTCATTTATTGCTGTTTTCCACAAGCTTGCTTTATTTTTGAGGATCTGTATTTGAATATTGATCCTGAAAAATAATGCAGGCCTGCATAATCCACAAGCTTGCTTTATTTTTGAGGATCTGTATTTGAATATTGATCCTGAAAAATAATGCAGGCCTGCATAAAACAGCAGTAAAAGGCCAGTCAGCCGATCAAGAGAACTTAATCTAGTCATTCATTCTATTTCTACCCAACAAAGCAGACTGGCCATCTGTGAAAGCTTCTAACTTGCTAATATTTAAATAGAATTTTTAACATGGCAACCTAGAATATTTTATTTTGTTTCTTAACTCCATATTTAAGTATGTCTGTAAAACTAGTTTTATTAGAAAATAAATTGTCTTGCATTTTCCTAAAAAGTTGTCTCAAATTATGCTGTTCCAAATTATGTTCTGTATTTGATATTCTTTGATTTAAACAGGTTTGAAAATTCATGGAAAAGTATGATTTTAATATTTCTTATGTCATTTCTTTAAAATTATTAATTAGCCATTGTGATCAGTATAATGGTTAGCATTGCTGGCTGCCATCTTTGGGCCTAGGTCCAAATCCAGAGAATGCTTGGATGTTAGTAAGAGTAAAGTATGTTTTTGGTATGGCTTAATCCCACTGGAGATTCTCTTCCAAAATTGGAATGCAGCTGGGCAAAGTCCTGCTGTCACCTATTAGGTCCCCAAAGCTCCTATCAATGACAAATGCAATCCTATTAAAAAATTCTCAATAAAACTTTTCCAGTGCTGACCCATCAAACTGCTGCATAGTAGGGTAAGTCAGGATATTTTGTTTTTGATCTCTAATAAAAAATCATAACTTTGTTGATGATTAAGTCCTCGAGAGCAAATAAAATTAACTGCTAGTACAAGTGGTTAAACAAAACATGACAGATTAAGGTGTTTTCCATAGACAGCCTGCTGGTAAATAATACAGTAAGTTACCAGAGATTTTGAGCATGTAACTTTTTCACAGGCTTTAAAAAAATTTCTAACCAATTCCCTACCCATTTCACACATATTTGTAGCACCGTCCATTGTGACACATTTTAACTCGTTCTATTGTAAATTGTCCTGTGTTAGTTTTTTGTACTTCCTTGAACATATCTTAGTCTCTAATTGTTCCATACAGACAATTCATTGATGTTAATTCTTCAGTCACCTGAAATTCAGTATTGTGACTACAAATAAACAGTATAATTGTAAAATATAATTGGATTAGAGACATCTCTGGACAAGCTTGTAGTTGTTACAAAGAATGAAAGCTACAGTTGAGCTGCCCAAAACCCTCATCTTAAATTTAAACAACCATCTGAAGTGTTATTTGACTATGAATTTTGTCATCTGTTTTTCCAACCATTAGTTAATGTCAGTCAGCTCATCAACAGCCAATGAAATGCACTGAACTTTTGGGGGGGGGGCTTGTGTTTTGATTGACTCTTGATGTGTCTTGCAATGTCATCAACTCTTCTAATAGCTATTTTTGCCAAAGAACAGATAAAAAATCCATTTTCTTTGAGCACATTTCTTCTGCTATAACTAGCAGAAATGATTTAATTCACCATTAGTAAACAGTTTTCTGATCTTAGTTAATAAATGAGCTAATTGTAGGCTTACTTTAATTATTGTCTAATTTTCATTTTTTACTTTTATGAATAAATTACACTATGATGTAGCACTCTATTTTAAATTTTCCAATTTTAGCAATTATTCATTTTCTATGAGTTTTGAAAATTGTGTCATGTGCCTGGTTTGGTTATAACAATAGCTGCTGTACTTTTTCCATGCAACTGTTATGTCATTACACAATAATCATAATACTTTGTCATTTAATTCTACGACAAAATGATTTACACTCCATTATGCTTAAAGCATGGCATTCAGAGTCCTTCTTTCTCTTATTATTTGACCTTGAGAGTGACATGCTAGCAATGGGCAACAAATAAAATAAGATGAGAAGACTAAAATGTCAAATAAAGAGCACCAATAGTCTATAAGCATCAATAGACAATACCATGTGCACTGTTATGACAATAGTTATTTTATAGCAACAGCAGGCTACAAAGTGTGAATACATGATGCCATGAGCACCGTATGCAGTTATCATTTGCAAGATCTGAACACAGCTATCAGCAATTACATTAGAACATGTAAATTTGATTTATGTAAAATCTTTTCAATAATTATTTTGTTTTAAGATTTCAGTGAGTTTTATAACAAATTTAAACGGTATTGGGGCTATGTTTTCAGTTGTGTTATGTAAAAAAAAATGGGGGCTATAATGACATTCATTACTGTGTTTCACATATTATTTATTTTTTAAAACCTTGTCTAAGGAGTAGATTAACTTTCTTGGTTTTAAATTTTTTGTTAGTTTTTGTGCTTTTCTTTTTATCTTAATCTTTTGCATAAATCTCTTAATGATTAATATTATATATGACTTCCCAAAATAAAAAGTTTTATATTCATCATTTTGTGCAGGAATAATTATCAAAGCAGTTCAGCCTAAGCCCAAACTCCTCAATGGGCCAGAATCTTCTATGACGCCTGAACAGCAGGAATTACTTAGGCAATATAAAGACCTCATTAGAGAACAGGTAATTTAAAATATATTTTCTGTTTGTAACTATTATATTTTTAGAAGTGTATTATATTGTGCAGATTTTAAATTTTTGAAATCATTTTTTTATTTTACTTTTTAAGGACTTTTTAATTTTGATAGAACAATTATGGATATGTATTTGTGAATGCAGCAGGCTATGGATATTAGAAAAAGAATGTCCTGTTCTTGTTTTAAGATTCTGAAGTAATTTAATAACAAATTCTTATTATTAAATATAACTTATTATGAGAATAGTAAATTGTATGTATTTTTAATTAATAAGAATCCTGATTTGAAAAAAACCTTGTCAGAACTTTTTTATTCTGTTAAAAATGCACACAGAAAATTTATGAAGCTGTAGTTTTTTTAAGTGTGCCAAATTTATGATATAATTGCTGTTCATAAATTTGCTTTATACAAGTCAAAATATTCATATTAATGGAAAAAAGGATTAGGAATTTTTTTTTTAAATGGCTGGGTGCTTTATTTAATAGCCGTTAGCTTTGTGCCATTGCAAGGGTCGCGGAAGTGGGGACCATTTCATCATGGAAGCACCTAGTGGGTGGTCACCATTGTCTCCTATGAAGGGATGGACTGAACCTTCTCCAGAATTCAAACCCAGTCCCATTGTTAAAGCAGCCAGGGTCACTAACCACTATACTGGCTGGGCGTTAGCTTGGAATTAAAATAGAATATATGGTAAAAAGTTTGAAATTCGGACATCCAATCTCCAGACTTCCAGTTAAAAATAAAATTCATTTAGGTTTTTGATGTTATTATTTTAATAGTTTAGGGATGGAAAACATAATATTCAAGAAAAATCGTGTAAAAGCATGGAGTATTGTATTATTAATATTGAAATTATGCATTATTTCTTTCTATTTATAGAGCTTCTTCCTAAAATATTTTCTCAAATATGACATGATTTTTTTTAGCTTCTGAAGCATCTTTTAAATCAAAAAAATATAAGTCAATTTAAAATTAATGCTCTATTCGGTCCATTTCAAATTAGAGCGCCTTTTATTTTAATAGCAAAATACATTAAATAGTACTTAACTTTCTCTGAATATTTTTGAAAGGGAATAAAATAAGGATTTTTTTTAATATTATGTAACTGAGATATTATATAATATAAGGGGAATAATTATTTTAATTATACTTATCAGATTTTTTTACACTTAATTTCAACAATACATATTTCAAAACTCTTTTTTTTTTTTATTACTTAATACACATCTCATAGAATTTGCTTTACAATACCTTTTAACAGATTTTTCCAGTACGAACAATTCTTGCTTAAATATTTTTATAATGTATTTGTCACAGATTTCAATTTATGTTTACAATCAATGCTAAGTTTATTATATTTAGATAATATTTAATCATTATAAATTAGATACATTATTTAATAATTGATTCTTCACAGTAAATTCACTTGTTTATGAATGAATAAATCCTTCATTTCAAATACATTTATAATAATTTAATAAATTTACGTCTTTTGTTAAAGGCAGATACATGCTTTCTGCAAGTACATGCATAAATACCCATACATATTTCATATTTTTCATTTCAGGCATGTGCAAATCTTTAATTTCTGTGCATTCCCTATATTTTTCAAGTAAAGTAATTTACACTAATTTAACATATACCCAAAAGTTTTACATAAGAAATATGTATAAATATAATTTGAATGAAAATTATACGCATTATTTTTAATACCCACTGAAAAGTAAGTTTTTCTTCAAAATTACTTCACGGTGACATCTCTCCCTTTAGGCAAATAGCCCTTGCATGCCTTACTCTATTTAATAAAAACTTAACCTGACCTATATGCCTAATTACAAATATTTTAACATGCATAATTTTATATTTACATTTAGCCATCAAGTTTCAAACTTTTAACAAAACACGTTTTAGGATACATTCATCTTCAAATTTAAATCTTATACTAAATATATTTTGACAGAGCACTCAATACCTCTTTTATCAATTTTACACAGTTTAATAATTCTCTGATAATATAATAAATAATAATAACTAAGTAAAATGTGTAAGCCCAAAGTGATTGTTTTTCAGATATATAAAAATAAAATGATGAGTTTAAAAGGAGCAACAGTAAAGCCTCTCCTCTAAAAAATTTTAAAAAGTACATGTTGAAATAATATGTGGATGTGAAAAAATTTTATTTTATTTAAATCTTTTTGGCATTTTGAACATAAAATAGAAGTAGCAAATACTCTATCAAGGCTATTGAAAGATGTATACAATTTTAAAGTTACCGTAGGGTATTTTTCATTCTTTAAGCATCACGTTTTTGCTAAAATCTATATTTTTGTAGCTTAGAATTATAGCTTAGAATTTTATAAAGCAAATTCATAATCAAAATCGGGATTTTTATTTATCGAAAAATAACCAAGATGGGATTTTTGCGTAAATGTCACTAAACTACACAAATTGCTATTATCCATCACACTATGAATGTTTCTTCATGCGAAAGTGTCCCGTTTTTCGATTTGTATGGAACTGTCGTGTGTCGAAATACTATCGGAGCACTGTCATGCGAGCTTCTGAATGTAAACAAAAAAACACCCCATCTGATGACCGAAGCTTCGAAGCAGTGCTTCACTTCTAGTGTCAGTTTGGCGACTCCTTCCTTTCTTACCTCCATGGGTAAAAGCCATTTTTTCCCCAACTAATTACTTAAGATACTTGCATGTCACTTTCAAACACCTGCTAGCTAAGGAATCGCACCATTGCCAATGATAATTCATCGACTGATGTTGCCAATGACCACACTATCAGCCATCGAGTGGGAGACTTCAGATTTTCTATCAGATTTAAACAATAAGTGAAACTATTTCTATCAGATTTAAACAATAAGTGAAACTTCAAAATTTAGTTGTTTGGGCTGTTATGCTGCTTTTACTGGTTTTTCTTTTCATACCATGACAGCGGCCCACCAGCGGCCGAGCGGTAAATTCGCTGAACACTGGTAGTTCGGTCCGAGGTTCGAATCCCGCAAACGGGCTGGCTGGATGGGCATTTTCGTTGTTTTCCCCATGTGTGACATGTATACGAGCCAGTTTTCATTAGAAAGTCCTCCACGAAGGCATCCTTTCCCTTAGGCAGATAGCCCTAGTGTGTTTGCCATAATTAAATAAACCAAACCATACCATAACAGCTAAGAATGAAGGAAGATTTTGAAGAACTTAATATTTAGTATAGCAAATTACATGCTTCCTTAACTTTCTAATTTGATCCAATTTATTATTTTTGCAGACTATAATTATTACAGCTATATTATCAAAATAAAAATGGAAATTTTCATTTATATCAAAGACATTTTAATTTTTGAGCTGCAGCTGCATCTGCAAAGTGAAAGCATGTTTTGATGTTAAGGAAGCAAAAGGTAAAATTTCTGCAAAATATGATAATGACATATTTGTCTCAGAACTATCCAAGAAGTAAGGTATTGGAAGGTCAATGGCACGGATTTTAACAAAATGATGATTAAATGGATCACAACAAGACGTGGCTTTGATAGGTTTATTGCTAATGTTCCAATCAAAATATTTCCTGAGAAAACTTTAACACTAAGTGTATGTTACATGATAGGTTAACAAAATTTAAAAATCGCAGTAGTATAAAGCAGCTAGAAGTTTTAAGCAAAAAATAAATAAAACCTGAACTGAAAGAGCTGAACCATTTCCAGCTGAATTCATTGAACTCATCGACAGAAAAAGTTATATCCAGAGCAGATTTGTAACCCTGACAAAGCTGGTCTTTTTGACAACATGTGGCCCAAAATACTTTAGGTGACCTGTGCAAAAGATGTCAAAGATTCTAAATCAGGAATAACAATTTTGGCATACAAATGTAAACCTTTCATAAATGGAAAAAATATGTAGCTTCATGTGTTTAAAAGTGTAAAGATATTTTCTGACGTCTAGCATTCAAGTAATTTAGATATTTCAAGTGAAATTTTCTTATTAATGAAGTTTGTGAAAAAAATCTGATGTGTACACCACATGACTTCCTTGTACGGAATATTAAATTATATGCATTTTTTCTTGCATTTTTTTTAAACTTATTAGATTGAATTAAACCTACTTCGCCGACAGCACATAAACCACAATGAAATAAATGCATTCTTTAAAATTCACTTTGTTTACCATAGCGACACTCTGGCGCTAGGTTTACTTAACATATTAATTTCATTCATATTATAACTCAGAATGCACAAAATGTATATCATTTAAAGAATTATCTAATCGTTGCCACATGTTCTATTCAAATACTATAATAAAGCTAGAACTATGTATAAAAGAAATTAAGCAAGCAAAACAAAAAGAAACAGTTTTTCACAGATGATTGAGTATTTCTCATTTAATTAATTCAGTTCTCACTTCGCGACAAGGCGAAAATACATAAAAACTCAAAATATCTATATTAAAAATTACGAATTAAATCTCAAACGCTTATTTCCTCAAAAAAATTCCAGAAAGAATTAAGCATGATTTAATTGGCAATAATAAATGAATGCATTATCTTTGTTGTTGCGAGGCTAAGTTTCTCTAGATTGGCAACAAATCCACTAGTCTCCTGTTTCAAATGTAAACATCAATGGCTGCCATTAAAAACGGGGTTAGCAGCAATTAAACAGCTTTAAAATTGCTGATAATTCTAAAAATATTGCACACAGATTTACTAAAGGCATAAAATCCTTAACCGGAAGCTAAAAACAACATAATTCAATCATTTTTAAAGCAAAAAATGTACAATTTACAAACATATAAAAGTAAAGAACCTGAAATCACCGAGCCGGGTAATAGAGTGGATATATATATAAATATATTTATATACGTTTGATGTGGCCGATTGCAACCAAAATGCAAGGTGCACATCTGCATGTTATAGCAGTCCTGTATACAAAATTTCAACGTTCTGAGGCTACTCGTTTTCGAGTTATGCGAGATACGTACGTACATACGT